TCAAAAGACATGTTATTGAAATTTAAACGGTGCTAAAAATCATGTTCATTGCATTATAAATAGGCAAGACTTAGAAGTTAGCAGAAGCACCGAAGTTCCGGAGTTGTTCACACAGGTAGGATTCTAATTTAGGTGTAATTCAGTAACACCTTGAAGCATGTGCAGCATGTGAAAAACCGGACCTTTGGACTTGTCCTTGGGTCTGTATACCTGTGTAAATCTGTGTAAACCTAATATTCTTTCTGTAGCTAATTAAGAAAGTTTTCATAAATGACAAATATTTCACAAAACTCACGTTTAAGGCTTTCATCTTTGGCTTTTAGTGTCACATCAAAAGGACTTTATAATCTTCATTAGAGAACATTTTCTTTTGAAATCAATTTAAAGGATTGTTCAGTGTATTAGAATGGAAATTGATCAAAATAGAACAAAACACAAACCACTCCATTCATTCGGATTTTTGAATAATTTTCAAAAAGCAGAATTTTTTGTTGTCTGCGTCATTATATTTCTTATAAATTGTCAATGTTCAACGAAATTTAGTGACTCCTACAGAAATATGATGCCTCATCATAGTGAATGGGGTGGGGACAGTTTACTTGTTGCGGTTACGAGTCATAAATTTTGCTGATATTGACTACATTGTAGTCTAAATCGAAAAAAAAAATCTCAGAGGGTTCTACACACTAGACGGATCAGCCCTGGTCAATTATTATTATTTGTATGGGAAAAATGGCCTCCATTGTGACGATTTGCAATTAAAATGAAAACATAATGACCTTAACTAACTGCCTTGAATGAATGTCGTACAATAAGATATTGTCTTACAACAGTCACAATCATTAAAATGGTATCTATTGATATTACAAATGATATCGAAAAACAAAACAAACACATTTTGGGCGACGGATGGATGAACAACCATGCATTGATCACATGAGCACTAGAGATGCTCAGCCGCCTCACCTGAAACTCATCAATCCATATCTTTTTTCTATAAGAAGACGCCTTGAGTGGGCTAGGGGACTTCTTTTGACTTCAGACAACACTTGCGATCATTCTTCATGATAATCAGGCACACAATGTTATGGTTTTATCTCTACATGTATGATGCAAGGGACACTACCAGTATACTTGTACCTTGCTTTTGTTTTCCTTTTACAATGACACAAATATAAAACAGGTAACTCGAATTAGAGTCATCTTAAAACATTCAGGAATATATAGAGGATAATTGCTTCTTTTATCCTTTATCGAGAGAGAACATTGAAAAGTTTAGCCGCTCCTTAAAATACTCCTGTTACTGCTATTACTGCTAACATCAGGTACATTTGTCCTCATCGGTCACATGATAATGTCTATCTTCAGAAAATCTTAAAAACTCTTCTTCGAACTAAGATTTGACCCCAGGCATTTGCAATGTTGGGGGTTATTATCGCCCAGGGTACTACTTGTTGCCCCCCCCCCCCTGTATCTTGAAGTATTCTCGATGAACAACAACAACAACAACAAAACTATGTCTAAGGATAAACAGATTTACTTGTATTCTTATTTGTACAGCATTAGGTCTTACGTCCAGGGGTCACTTTAAATTTACTTAGAGTCATATACGAAAGACCATTTGAAATCTTCACTGATACCCATATAATTTTAATATTTGGAGTGCGCATAATATTATAGACCTCTACAAAGGTCATTTAAATAATGACACTGATTTAAAAAAAGTCCCCTCAGTTAATGCCCACGAAATTTGAGATGTAATTAGCTAAACCATTTTTGTCTAAAAAACAACAGCATTTAAAAACATGAGGAAAGAAGATTGGAATTGCTTGCAATATATGTTGCATAAACATGTATAAATAAAGTTTGACATGAGTATAAACTTTTGGAAAATGTGATCTTTCTGCGAGATAAGTAATACTTGTCCTTGACGAGTTTCATAAAACTTTTGACCAAATGAAAACGCATGTGTGATTGTTTTTTATCACAAGACAAACTTTAACTAACACAATCCGTTTACAACTTTGATAAAGATTCTTTTTGTTTAAATAATGATTTATATTAAACGATCACATGGTACAAATGGTTACAATTAATAAGGTGTGAAATAAAAAAAAATACGTAAACACAAAAAAACAAGAGAAATCATCTAATAAAGATAAAATGAAAAAATGTCTAACATTTATAGAAAACAAAGTAAGAAATGTTAATTTTCAATATTGACCCAAAACATGTCAATATGTGACCAATTTATTTGACCCAACGTTGATCTAATTTTTTTATGTCCAAATAAATTGTCCAAGTACTATAAATACAATACGAAGTGTATGGTTGTAAAACATTCATATACGGTTTACGTAAAAAAAATACCGGACAAAAGACTCTTTAAAGTGATTTGCCGGGAAGGGCCCACAATAATGTTACAAACACATTTGGCCCAACCCTTTTTGTATATTTTGTAATTATGTTGATGTAAAACAATTGATATATATTTATATATGCATTACTTGTTGCAAAATCAGTACTACCATAAATAATAATATTGGTTATAATTAGTGTCATACGTTACAACACACCATGAAATACTTATATATGGATGTTGTTGATAAGTGTGAGATACATGATCCTATATGACGTATCTTTATAAATATATGAAAATAAAGTGAAGAACATAATTTATTATTCATCATAATTACATTATAAATGTCCATACAAAATTATTCTAAACCGCCAAAAAATTGTTTATTATGATCTAGTGTTTTTCTTTTATATTTGAGCCAACTTTGATGGCTACAATTTTATCACAATTTCAATGGTTCGAAATATTGTAAAATATTATTGATAAAATAAAGAAAGTACATGTTTTCATTGAAATATTTCTTACCTGAAATATTTAAAAGAATGTTTTGTCAAAATCAATATCGCAGAGTGATCATCAAAACACTTCAAACTTTGAAACTGAATTATTAAAGACATTTCTTTTGATGCTTTCAAAACTGAAAATGTTTTTAGTAAAATATACGTTACCTATATGTTCATTCCGAAACAAATTCCAGATTATATATATATAAATAGGTAGCCGGTAGCTGATGAAGTATAGATATAGTCATTTAAATAAAATTTTGTGCTTCGTTAAATAACGATGATTTTATTTTTAATTGTACTACAAGTACTAGCAGGTAAGATATTTAAAGTGTTGATATATTTTATTTTATTGTTTACAATATCTTGTCTTGAAAATTTAACATAGTTTTGAACAATTTATGGAAATAGAAATTGTACTATATTTTGCATTACACCAATCATAACCTAATATATATTTTGCTTTTATTCATAGTGTGATATAAATATATAAACTCGTGTCATTTGGATCATTAAAGTGTATTAGTATATAATTGAAGATATGTAATACAATAAATAATTACACAGCTACTTAATTCGAAAATTAACGTCGTTTTAAAATACCTTTCTAAATATATTTACCTCAATGCTGGTCGAACTCGCACCGGACTTATTAATATATTGCTATAAAAAATAATAATGAAGTTGTAATGGCCTGTTAAGTCTGACCTTAAGAGTAATGTTAAAATTTGAATAATCAAGTGTAAGTGTGTTTGTTTGTCTTTTTTCCATTCTCCAAGCATGTGTCTTAAATAGTACAGGTTAATCCCAACTACAAGAATTAATCTATTTAGTATTTTCAGTTAATTTAAGTAATAAAGTCAAATTTACTTTTGTTCTTTGTTAGGAGTGATGATTAAAGCTCTTGATAAATTCATTTTTTTTGTTAAAGTACAATACTAATTGTTTAAATTATTTATACAGTGTATACATTCTGCATTCTATATATTTGTCACACTCTGTAATTTTCTATGTTGAATTAGCTGACATACTTTACATATTAGCTTCTAATCATTGTGACATTGTTAATTATAAAATATAATTTTATGTACTTGAAACAACGAGGTACTATATTTGTACAAGTTGGAAAGTAAACTTTTCTTCTTCTTAAAAAATAAATTATGCCGATAGTATTTTGTATAAGACATAACAACAAACAAAGAAATGTATGAATATGGAAGTTGTTGGCAAGTGTGAGATACATGATCCGATATTTCATATATTCGTATAGCAGATAATAAATTATTCGAGAGCAAAATAATATCATTAATCATATTTTTTAGTATTGAATAAATCACATAGGAGTTTACCAAACAATTTTATCATGCAATAGTTTATAAGAATATTTAAATGAAATATTACTATTGCTTTCACCAATATTTGAAATGCTTATAGAAAATGTGCCCATTGTAGACGAATCCACTTTAAATAAAAAGAGATACGTTTCTGGCGAATTATATACAAGCTAAGCACTCATTAAAATCTAGCGTTTCTTCTTAGTTTAAAAAAAATGTCGATCGCATTGATGAAATGGATATCATCACAAAGGTTTTTTTTCAGGTGAAGCGGATGGCCGTGACAATTATGAAGGTAATCGTTCGTTGTTGTTGTTTTATCAGTAAAGGAATGAATTTATTTGATATAATTAATGAATGGAACCATATCATATGAGGATCTCTCGGCTTGGAAACAAACCGCCATTAAGAAAAAAACTTTTTTTTCCAATAAGTAAATTACTTTATGACGATCGGTCAGGCTGAAAAACAACATTATGTGATGTCAGTATTGATCACAACTTACCTCTTGACCTAAAGTATGACCAGAATTTTATCATAACATTGTGGCGGACGCATTCGTGAAACATGGCTGAGGCATGAATATATGACTTTGATCATAGAAATTTGGCGGACGCATATTCAAATATGCATTTGACCATAAAATGTGGCATACATGCGAAAATATGACTGACTATAAAATAAAGTTTAGGCATAAAAATATAACTATAAGCAAAAAGCATGACCGGTGTGTGAAATTATTTGAATAGGTCTTTGACAATAAAATATGGCCGATGAATGAAAATATGTCTTCCACCATAAAATATGGCTAACGTAAGTAATTGTGACTTTGATATTGAAATATGTATGGCAAATGAAAACTGTACTTTTAATATGGTTGAAGTATGATTTAATATCGTTGAAGTATGTTTTAATATCGTTGAAGTATGTTTTAATATGGTTGAAGTATGATTTAATTTGATATTAAGCATTCAGTATATATTGTGTATGAAATTCAGACTTTAACATTAAAAATGTGCTGAGGTACAAAACAAGGACTTAGACTATAAAAATCACTCAAAGATAAAAAAATATTTGGACCATAAAATATAGTTGACGTGTGAAAATAGGACTTAGGACACAAAATGTGTTTAACGTTCAAAAATATGGAGTTTGAGTATGTAAATGGCTGCCGAATGATTATATGGCAGACAATAATAATGAGTGACGTATCCTCTTTTCAGCAAAACAAAACGCAATTTATCTCAGGCTTTTCATTTCAATTTGATTCTTATGTAAGTGTTGTATTTTCGGACATTATAACGGGATAAGAAATATAGGCAAATTTGTTGAATCACTGTACCATTCATTCAAGTAACATTATATGCTACAGCATATGGAATGCCGTCAAAAGTTCCTGAAAAAACGACTTCATAATATGCGACGCTATTTAATGCCCACGACGCAATTTACTAAAAAATAAGTCTGAATTCTAGGACTCGCTGTCTTACTTCTCAAGCAACAATGAAGTCCTGCTCCCAGTTCGCTTTTGTTTGTTATTCATCAGATTCGGCAAATTCAGAATTAACTAAATTTCAAAGGACAAATATACCCCAACACATATATATTTAATCAAAATAGTAAACATGTATCTTACGAAGATTTATTTATGGGACGGTCATGTATTCAGAAGCAAACTAACCAATCATTCCTCTTATTTTTTCGTTAATAGTTTCGTTTCGGATGCATATTTTTGCTAAGAATCTTCTTTAAAATAAAACTTTGTTAACTTAATATTTATAATATCTTAATATTATTATAACTTAAACCAATTTCCGTTCAGACGAAAGGTAAGTCATTAATGACAAATGATAATATTTAATTTAATCAAAATATCTAAATGATATTTAACAATCCTATAGTTGGAGAGAGAGAGAGAGAGAGAGAGAGAGAGAGAGAGAGAGAGAGAGAGAGAGAGGGACCTATGACATTACACTAGTAGATAATAAGGCCAAAATGAACTTATTACTTTTATCTTGCTATCTCATACTCCAGCTATTTACCTTTAAGGCTCAGGAAATGAAAATTAACTCTAATCCTAGTAACTTCTCGTTTGTTTTATAGTAAGCTTTGCACTGGACCTGCCATATGCATCAGTGGGAATATTAGGAGAGAGTCTTATAACAGCCACAATTCAAAATGTGATGATATCAAGTTTTACTGGACTAAACTCTGAGGATATCAATGGCGTGACTATTCATTCAGTTGACGGTAATGATTCATAATATCTACCTATTTCTTATGCAACAGGATTGAATGTGATAGCTTGTTGGATAAGCCAATACAATTCTTTTGCGCATTTTCAAATCTATACATTAGTATCTGTTTTATCGGTTTGTGTTTTCATTAATATCGAATGCTGTGGACAACGTAAATCACTTGTTTTCTCGATGATTACATAAAGCAATCGCACAATTAGCGTACACATAGATTTTTTAATAAATTTCGTTTATAAGGGAAGGATTTCTTGTTAGTTAAACTTTATGTAATTACATTTAAATTTAAAACCTTGGTTATTGCTCGATGGAAATGATTAAAGAGATAAGCATAGTTTCAATGATTGCACACAGTATTGAATCATTTAAAGTTATAGTTTTTTTAATCAGAAGTTGTATGCAATGTATAAACTGTTCAATAGTTCAGAACTTTTTTTTGAAATTTTAAAATTTGTAAAGTGAAAATAACAAATATTATGTTCTCTTGTATCTTCACAGGAAATACAGGAACGACTATTGAATTATATTCGTCGACTGTTGGTATTGATGTGTTGCTTCTTGCAATGGAAACCTTTGTTAATTCTGGGCAATCGTTCGTAATTGGTTCCTCTCCATCGCAAGTTACTGTAACTGCTTTACCAGGGTCTTTCAATGTTCTATACCCAGATAGTAAGTGGTTTTGATCATATGTCAATAATATGTTTATGTAGTATTTCAAACTCGTTAAGATGAACCTCTATTCTATTTTTTTCAACGTTTCCGTATTAATATAATCAATTTACACTTAAAATGTATAATTTTACAATGTTGTCGAATTTCAGGCTTTAAGAATGTTAATCGATGTTTCTCACATGCTTAGTATATTCTGTACGAATTTTGTCATTATGATGTCGGTTAAATATTTGATTTGTCCCTTTTAAGCTTTGACCACTGATGCAGTTTCTTCTTTAGCTTCAATGGAATCAACAACTACCACATCTTCTATAACAACTCCAACTGAAGCAGTTACTTCTCATACCGCAGTCGCTGAAACAAGTTCTATTGTTGAAGGTAAGCTTCTAATATGTTCGGAAAGATCAATATTTGAAAGAATGTATAAACAAACAATTTCCCCTAAAACGGTTTATAAACACAATTTTCTTACAATAATTCTTAACTTAGAATATTTTCTGCTCATATTTCTGCGATGATTTAATCAAAATAGAATAAATATATATATGAATATAATCGACTGATTTTCGCAGATTTTATGCCATCTCTGTAAAGGAAATGAACTTTTCGGTCAGATGAGATTATACGTTTGTTATTTTGTTAACACATAATCAAAAAAAATCAATCAGTCTTATTATTACAACTGTTTTAGAATTTTAGAATTACTTTCTGCTTATATATCCAGACGTTTGTATGTCTTTCGACATAGAAAAGAAAAGCATGTAAGTATAAAGATGGTCAAATGAAACTTAGTGCAAAGGTGGTCAAATGAAACTTAAATAAAGTACAGTACAATTGCAGCTTGGAATACTTTTTACTAAAACTATTATTTGGACCATACAATATAGTTGACGTGTGGAAATAGGACTTAGGACACAAAATGTGTTTAACGTTCAAAAATATGGAGTTTGAGTATATAAATGGCTGCCGAATGATTATATGGCAGACAATAATAATGAGTGACGTATCCTCTTTTCAGCAAAACAAAACGCAATTTATCTCAGGCTTTTCATTTCAATTTGATTCTTATGTAAGTGTTGTATTTTAGGACATTATAACGGGATAAGAAATATAGACAAATTTGTTGAATCACTGTACCATTCATTCAAGTAAAAATATATGCTACAGCATATGGAATGCCGTTGAGAGTTCCTGAACGGCCCCCGGAATTAAACGACTCTATAATATTCGACGCTATTAAATGCCCACGACGCAATTTACTAAAAATAAGTCTGAATTGTAGGACTCGCTGTCTTACTTCTCAAGCAACAATGAAGTCCTGCTCCCAGTTCGCTTTTTTTGTTATTCATCAGATTCGGCAAATCCAGAATTAACTAAATTTCAAAGGACAAATATACTCTAACACATCAATATTTAATCAAAATAGTAAACGTGTATCTTACGAAGATTTATTTATGGGACGGTCATGTATTCAGAAGCAAACTAAACAATTAATCCTCTTCTTTTTTCGTTAATAGTTTCGTTTCGGATGCATATTTTTGCTAAGAATCTTCTTTAAAATAAAACTTTGTTAACTTAATATTCATAATATCTTGATATTATTATAACTTAAATCAATTTCTGTTCAGACGAAAGGTAAGTCATTAATGACAAATGATAGTATTTAATTTAATCAAAATACCTAAATGATATTTAACAATCCTATAGTTGGAGAGAGAGAGAGACAGAGAGAGAGGGAGGGACCTATGACATTACACTAGTAGATAATAAGGCCAAAATGAACTTATTACTTTTATCTTGCTATCTCATACTCCAGCTATTTACCTTTAAGGCTCAGGAAATGAAAATTAACTCTAATCCTAGTAACTTCTCGTTTGTTTTATAGTAAGCTTTGCACTGGACCTGCCATATGCATCAGTGGGAATATTAGGAGAGAGTCTTATAACAGCCACAATTCAAAATGTGATGATATCAAGTTTTACTGGACTAAACTCTGAGGATATCAATGGCGTGACTATTTATTCAGTTGACGGTAATGATTCATAATATCTACCTATTTCTTATGCAACAGGATTGAATGTGATAGCTTGTTGGATAAGCCAATACAATTCTTTTGCGCATTTTTGAAATCTATACATTAGTATCTGTTTTATCGGTTTGTGTTTTCATTAATATCGAATGCTGTCGACAACGTAAATCACTTGTTTTCTCGATGATTACAAATAGCAATCGCACAATTAGCGTACACATAGATTTTTTTAAAAAAATTTCGTTTATAAGGGAAGGATTTCTTGTTAGTTAAACTTTATGAAATTACATTTAAATTTAAAACCTTGGTTATTGCTCGATGGAAATGATTAAAGAGATAAGCATAGTTTCAATGATTGCACACAGTATTGAATCATTTAAAGTTATAATTTTTTTAATCAGAAGTTGTATGCAATGTATAAACTATTCAATAGTTCAGAACTATTTTTTTTGAAATTTTAAAATTTGTAAAGTGAAAATAACAAATATTATGTTCTCTTGTATCTTCACAGGAAATACAGGAACGACTATTGAATTATATTCGTCGACTGTTGGTATTGATGTGTTGCTTCTTGCAATGGAAACCTTTGTTAATTCTGGGCAATCGTTCGTAATTGGTTCCTCTCCATCGCAAGTTACTGTAACTGCTTTACCAGGGTCTTTCAATGTTCTATACCCAGATAGTAAGTGGTTTTGATCATATGTCAATAATATGTTTATGTAGTATTTCAAACTCGTTAAGATGAACCTCTATTCTATTTTTTTCAACGTTTCCGTATTAATATAATCAATTTACACTTAAAATGTATAATTTTACAATGTTGTCGAATTTCAGGCTTTAAGAATGTTAATCGATTTTATGATTCAATACGTCATTTTTGCATACTAAAATTTCCATTAATTGTCCACTTCTTCCACTTGTGAGAGGCTAAAAATGACCCCAGATCAATCATAAGGTAATGTGTAACCAACGTTGAAAAGCATTTGACTCTATCTCAATCCATTGAGAAGTTGCAGCACTTTGAAATCAATTTTTGATGGAAAAATCAACGCAAAATAGTGATTTTTGGCAATTTTGAGATGTCCCCTCGTTGCCATGGTTACAGAAAATTTAAGACTGAGCATGTTGTTGCAAAGGCATTGCTCCAGTGAACATGTGTGCCAAGTTTAATTAATATTGAAGCAGTTTTTATAGTTTTATAGCAATTTGAACTTGTAACGGGAGACTTTTCAATGAAAACAGCCATTTTTCACAAAATGCTCATGAAGTAATGGGTTAAATGCTAGAATTGATAAATATTCTTTTTTTTTATTTTAAGGCGTTTGGAGCTCCACACCCCAAGTCTCTGTAATTTGAAACGATGTTTCTCACATGCTTAGTATATTCTGTACGAATTTTGTCATTATGATGTCGGTTAAATATTTGATTTGTCCCTTTTAAGCTTTGACCACTGATGCAGTTTCTTCTTTAGCTTCAATGGAATCAACAATTACCACATCTTCTATAACAACTCCAACTGAAGCAGTTACTTCTCATACCGCAGTCGCTGAAACAAGTTCTATTGTTGAAGGTAAGCTTCTGAAATTTTCGGAAAGATCAATATTTGAAAGAATGTATAAACAAACAATTTTCCCAAAACGGTTTATAAACACAAGTTTCTTCGATTCTTAACTTAGAATATTTTCTGCTCATATTTCTGCGATGATTTAATCAAAATATGATAAATATATATATGAATATAATCGACTGATTTTCGCAGGTTTCATGCCATCTCTGTAAAGGAAATGAACTTTTCGGTCAGAGGAGATTGTACGTTTGTTATTTTGTTAACACATAATCCAAATGAAAAAAAATCAAACAGTCTTATGATTAAAACTGTCTTAGAATTTTAGAATTATTTTCTGTTTATATATCCACACGTTCTTATGTATTATAGAAAAGAAAAGCATGTAAGTATAAAGATGGTCAAATGAAACTTAGTGCAAAGGTGGTCAAATGAAACTTAAATAAAGTACAGTACAATTGCAGCTTGGAATACTTTTTACTAAAACTATTATTTGGACCATACAATATAGTTGACGTGTGGAAATAGGACTTAGGACACAAAATGTGTTTAACGTTCAAAAATATGGAGTTTGAGTATATAAATGGCTGCCGAATGATTATATGGCAGACAATAATAATGAGTGACGTATCCTCTTTTCAACAAAACAAAACGCAATTTATCTCAGGCTTTTCATTTCAATTTGATTCTTATGTAAGTGTTGTATTTAAGGACATTATAACGGGATAAGAAATATAGACAAATTTGTTGAATCACTGTACATTCATTCAAGTAAAAATATATGCTACAGCATATGGAATGACGTTGAGAGTTCCTGAACGGCCCCCGGAATTAAACGACTCTATAATATTCGACGCTATTAAATGCCCACGACGCAATTTACTAAAAATAAGTCTGAATTGTAGGACTCGCTGTCTTACTTCTCAAGCAACAATGAAGTCCTGCTCCCAGTTCGCTTTTTTGTTATTCATCAGATTCGGCAAATCCAGAATTAACTAAATTTTCAAAGGACAAATATACTCTAACACATAAATATTTAATCAAAATAGTAAACGTGTATCTTACGAAGATTTATTTATGGGACGGTCATGTAATCAGAAGCAAACTAAACAATTAATCCTCTTCTTTTTTTCGTTAATAGTTTCGTTTCGGATGCATATTTTTGCTAAGCATCTTCTTTAAAATAAAAATTTGTTAACTTAATATTCATAATATCTTGATATTATTATAACTTAAATCAATTTCTGTTCAGACGAAAGGTAAGTCATTTAAGACAAATGATAATATTTAACTTAATTAAAATATTTAAATGATGTTTAACGATCCTATAGGGGGAGAGAGAGAGAGAGAGAGAGAGAGAGAGAGAGAGAGAGAGAGAGAGAGAGAGAGAGAGAGAGAGAGAGAGAGAGAGAGAGAGAGAGACCTATGACATTACACTAGTAGATAATAAGGCCAAAATGAACTTATTACTTTTATCTTGCTATCTCATACTCCAGCTATTTACCTTTAAGGCTCAGGAAATGAAAATTAACTCTAATCCTAGTAACTTCTCGTTTGTTTTATAGTAAGCTTTGCACTGGACCTGCCATATGCATCAGTGGGAATATTAGGAGAGAGTCTTATAACAGCCACAATTCAAAATGTGATGATATCAAGTTTTACTGGACTAAACTCTGAGGATATCAATGGCGTGACTATTCATTCAGTTGACGGTAATGATGCATAATATCTACCTATTTCTTATGCAACAGGATTGAATGTGATAGCTTGTTGGATAAGCCAATACAATTCTTTTGCGCATTTTCAAATCTATACATTAGTATCTGTTTTTATCGGTTTCTGTTTTCATTAATATCGAATGCTGTCGACAACGTAAATCACTTGTTTTCTCGATGATTACATATAGCAATCGCACAATTAGCGTACACATAGATTTTTTAATAAATTTCGTTGATAAGGGAAGGATTTCTTGTTAGTTAAACTTTATGTAATTACATTTAAATTTAAAACCTTGGTTATTGCTCGATGGATATGATTTAAAGAGATAAGCATAGTTTCAATGATTGCACACAGTATTGAATCATTTAAAGTTATAGGTTTTTTTAATCAGAAATTGTATGCAATGTATAAACTGTTAAATAGTTCAGAACTTTTTTTTTGAAATTTAAAATTTGTAAAGTGAAAATAACAAATATTATGTTCTCTTGTATCTTCACAGGAAATACAGGAACGACTATTGAATTATATTCGTCGACTGTTGGTATTGATGTGTTGCTTCTTGCAATGGAAACCTTTGTTAATTCTGGGCAATCGTTCGTAATTGGTTCCTCTCCATCGCAAATTACTGTAACTGCTTTACCAGGGTCTTTCAATGTTCTATACCCAGATAGTAAGTGGTTTTGATCTTATGTCAATAATATTTTTATGTAAGTATTTCAAACTCGTTAAGATGAACCTCTATTCTATTTTTTTCAACAGTTAATCCGATTTATATATATGAGAGCACGAAACCTACACTCATAAATATGTGATAATAATTATACATATGTTGTTCGATATGTTCAGGCTTAAGAAGTTAATCGATTGATGATCAATACGTCATTTTACATACTAAAAATTCCATTTAATTGTCCACTTCTATCACTTTGTGAGAGGCAAAAATGACCGATTTCAATGCAGTAATTGGTAAAAATGTTGAGTCAACGTTGAAAAATGGAGATTATATCTTTACGTCTCTGCAGAGTACCGATATGAGAAGTTGTCAGTCTATCTCTTTTATGGTAAAACACTCAACGCCATAAATAGTGATTTTTATGAGCACACATTTTGAGATTCCACCTCGTTGACATAGGTAACACACACAATTTAGACTTGTATTGACATTAGTGAGCAGATATCAGTCGCTGCCCAAGCGATATATAACATGTGTGAGTGAAGCCAAGTTTAATTGAATATTGAAGCCAGTTTTTATATTTTTTTTTAGCAATTTGAACTTGTAACGGGAGACTTTTCACATGAAAAACAGGCATTTTTCACAAAATGCTCATGAAGTAATGGGTTAAATGCTTGAATTTGATAAATATTTTTATTTTTATTTTTAAGGCGTTTGGAGCTCCACACCCCAAGTCTCTGTAATTTGAAACGATGTTTCTCACATGCTTAGTATATTCTGTACGAATTTTGTCATTATGATGTCGGTTAAATATTTGATTTGTCCCTTTTAAGCTTTGACCACTGATGCAGTTTCTTCTTTAGCTTCAATGGAATCAACAATTACCACATCTTCTATAACAACTCCAACTGAAGCAGTTACTTCTCATACCACATTCGCTGAAACAAGTTCTATTGTTGAAGGTAAGCTTCTGAAATTTTCGGAAAGATCAATATTTGAAAGAATGTATAAACAAACAATTTTCCCAAAACGGTTAATAAACACAAGTTTCTTACAATAATTCTTAACTTAGAATATTTTCTGCTCATATTTCTGCGATGATTTAATCAAAATATGATAAATATATATATGAATATAATCGACTGATTTTCGCAGATTTTATGCCATCTCTGTAAAGGAAATGAACTTTTCGGTCAGATGAGATTATACGTTTGTTATTTTGTTAACACATAATCAAAAAAAATCAATCAGTCTTATTATTACAACTGTTTTAGAATTTTAGAATTACTTTCTGCTTATATATCCAGACGTTTGTATGTCTTTCGACATAGAAAAGAAAAGTATTTAAAGTATAAAGGTGGCCAAAAGAGACTTAGTACAAAGAAGGTCAAATGAAACTTAAATAAAGTACAGTACAATTGCAGCTTGGAATACCCTTTTACTAAAACTATTCTAGTAAGGTTTCAGTGAGTGTTTTAATTTTTTATCTTTCTAATCATGACTTACTGTGCAGAAAATTAAAATTAACAGTTATCTCAAAGAATAAGTCATTTGCGAGCACGTATCTTATTGTAAAATATAGAGCTAAGTTTCTGTTACAATATTGGAAATTGCGAGTCTCAGTCTTAATGCTTGTCAAATACCTCAACACAGGACATGGAGTTATTGCAACAAAGTGACTTCCTTACTCAAATGTATAAGCTTTCAGCTTTAGTTTAAAATCTAAATCGTTATGATTCATCTTTTGCACGATATTTCAAATTTCACAAATGTACTTCACCCACAATATTGTAGGGCCTTATTCATCTAACGTATTAAGATATTCAATAAATTCTGCACATCAATCGATTAGATTTTAATCATATTTGAGCCTAGAGCAGATGAGCACTCGAAGACATTTGACGAAGTATCATTAAAATAAGCTCATATTTCATCTCTCTTCCTTAAAGAGAAAATTGATTTAAATAATAAACCAACAGTATTACTATGAGTTCCCGTGTATAGTCATCATAATGCAAGCCGCAGTTCTAAGGTACTCACATAGTTGACGAGTATTTTTGGCCTTTTCTGTTAAACAATTTATTAATTGTCGTCTTTGTTGGTATTGAAAATTCAAAAACCTATTGAAATAACACAGTTTAGAAATATCTATTGACACATTACAAACTTCACAACATGCGTAACGATTATCAATACGTAGAAATATCTGAATTTAAATAATAAGTCTCAATACGTTAACTTTTAAACGATATTTCATGTTTAATCTCTCCTCTTGAGCTCTGATCGTTCATTTTACTCGCTGAACCTGACTCTTCATTAAATCATAATATTCTATACTGCTAATTGCGAAATTTAACCGACCAAATTGTGAATCTTTAAATTTTTTCATGATTTTTCTATTGCTTCAATGATGAGATTTTTCTGAATAGAAAGTTAAGAATGCATAGAGAATTAATACAAGTGGAGTGAAATTATCCGATGAGCTGAACCGAGGATGAATTTAAATTTGTGAAGTTAAATCTTAAATGAATTTATTCAAGATTAATTCGTAAAGTTTTAATCGTGAATTTAAGATTTTGTAATCATGAATTCATGTAGTTGAAATCATGAATTTTAAGAGCTGAAATTATGAAGTTCCAAACGCAATTTGTAAAATTTCATCGTGAATTTTTAACACGGAAAACGAAATTGCGAATTCCGCACATGTCGTCACTATACATTATTTTCGATCCACTGACAACATCGTGAATATCTTAAAAACCGATGACACTTATATCAATAAAGAAGTGAAATATTTATTTCAGGTATAATGTATGTCAATGAAATTGTAGAATACTACAAGACTACTTGCAGATGATAGCTCTTTCGTAGTTAAATTGTGGTACAATTTAAAAGGAGAATTTGGGTGTTTATATTCCCATAATGGATGCTTTAGCGTCCAATATAATTAGCTTTTATTAAATGTTTGTGAGTAGAAAGTAGAAAACGACCAATTGTAACCAAACTTTCAGATTTCAACCCCCCCCCCCAATAAAAAAATAAATATTAAATAAATAAAATAAAATTAAAAATCGAAATTGTTGTATATACATGTACCTAATAATTTCAGACACGAAGAAATCAATGACATACTGTATTCAACTTAACTTTTTGAAAACGAATAATGAATATATTCAAATATGAAAAACGTATATTCGAACAACAAAATATGGCCTTATTTGAAGTAAATGTGACTTGACCTTTAAAAAGTGAAAATCACTTCAGAATTCAGTTTTTAATTGTAAAAGGCCACAATTCAGTACAAAAGGATTCAGTCATGGCTCTTTGACAATTAGCATGCAAGCGCCTGGAGAATTTACTTAATACTTCAATAACAAATATAATGGTGGAATTTAATAATATATCAGTATATAATTGCTGCAGCTTTCATCATAATTAAATCAATTGTTGTTTATGGTTAAAAAGAAAAAAAACTCACTTCAATTCATTCGAATTACCAATCACCAAAATTTATATCGATCGTCGTGCAAAACTGCTCTAGACGACATTTTGGCATATTTTTCTATTCTACAAGCAATAACTGTCTAATGCAATATGTAAAGCAGTGGCAGTCACCAGCCCGAAGAATAAGTTAACAACCTATGTTTTCCCATTTCCTAGTCGCTTTTTGAACGTTTACACATTTGTCAACAGTAATTTGTATTGTCTGTAACAATCTTCAAATAAGTTTTCTTTCTTTTAAATAGATGAGTGACTTAAATCCAAATGATATCCCTCTGAATCAAACACAATTATTTTCCTCCCATGACATGCACAACTTTTAACAATGGCGGCCGCTTATATAACACAAATTCAGGTCTAATATAAATCCGCCTTAAGTAACGGAGATAAGGTCAGATGGTGAGCCTTTTTCTATTACTAGAATTATTGTTTTTGTTATTAAAACAAGCGATCATTCATACGCCACTCGTGAGGATATTGTTTTAAAGCTCGCTCGATAAAATAAAATTTCATCACACACGCACACGCGCGCGCGATCACACACACACACACACACACCCGCACACGCACACACACACACACACACACACACACACACACACACACACACACACACACACACACACACACGCACACGCACGCACGCACGCACGCACGCACGCACGCACACACACACGTCATACCATTACGATGTTAAGTCGCATTTCCATAATATAATTTGGAAAAAGAATAAACAGGTTATCAAACATTAAATCAATACACGTGTTTACTACGGAATTTTTTTATTCTTACAATTGAGATACTGTGTTTTATTCGTGGGATGACAGTGCGGGTGATATAGCTCTGTCGAACTACTTTTGGCCTATGTTTTAATTTTGACGGTTCTGTGATAAAAGTATATTTCTCGGTTAAAATATCATAATTTCTATGAAACTGTTTACAGTTATTCTGCAGTTATGTCTATAAACTTTAACTACTTTCGATTGTGCAGCAACGGCTTCTGCAGCAACGGCGTAGCCATTGAATGTCTGACACGTCATCTTTTTTATACCTTGTGCCTTTCAAAACCGCCGATAATTGCTGTTATTTCACTTATCAGTCATAAAATAACAAGAGCACCACAAAGGTTGGGTTATATACGCCCGAATGTATTCTTTGAAGAAAAAGGGAAGAATCTCAATCAAGAAACTTGCCTGAAAAATGTTTTTTTCTTTTCTTAATTATTATCCTTATGATACTATATGACCTCCAAGATAGAGGCATTTTTAACCTTAAGTGCACGATTTATAAATCGTTCATAGTGATAACTAGGCAATGCTAAATAATGTAAAGTATTTCTCAGCTAAAAAAATTAGATAATATATCTGCCAAAAAAGTTTCAATTTCTTTCCATCGTTTTAAAAGATATAGAGCGCGCACGCAATTTTGAAAAAAATAGTACAGAATTACTGCGTGTGACCTTGAACTGAGAATTTTGATATTATAGTTGATATTGAGGAAATTTCATTTAAACTTGTTTTTAAGCGTAATAAAAAGAAAAGTTGTGTGTTTGTTGTGTAAGATATAGAGGATGTTGAGTGAGTGTAGTTCAATACTAAATTTATTGAACGAGTTGAATAAAATCATATAATGCGAACCTCCGGCTCGTCTTCAACGAGTTCAATAAATTTAGTATTGAATCTACACGAATATAATATTCAATTTATCACATATAGGAAATAAGAACAGTAAACTGTTAAAATGAATAATTTTTCAATAAGCGCCCATAGTGTAAGGCTAACATTAGCGCGCTTTATTGCTATGCTTCTACGAGGGCTGTTCAATAAATACGCGGAAAAGTATCGCTATTTCCTTATTTTATTTCCTTATTTTCCAAGCTGAATGAAACTTATACAGTAATAGAGACAAACATATTTTGAAAATATACAGCAAATATTGCCGTTCTGGCATGAATCATATGTTAACAAACGGTCGTTATGGTAACCACATGTAGCGATTACCGGCCCACTTTTGTTCATTTTACAAATAGTCACTGGTTAATAATGACGTCGCATTTTAACGTTTACCGCGCGATTTTCACCAAACTTTGCATAATTTACGCGCAATATGTTGGCGTTACGCACATGACGTCATGTTAGTGTGTGACGTCATTTAGGCGTTAAGCGGCCATATTTTTTAGTGCGTATGCGTTAAAATGATATCGGAACAACGATCTTCAATAAAATGTTGTGTTTTGAGAAAGAAACAATGTTAAGATTACAAAAAGCATATGGTGATCAGGCGATGAAGAAAACAGAATGTACATGTGGTATGCCTGATTACTAGGCGGCCAACAAATCATCCATGACGACAAACGCAGTGGACGTCCCAACGTAACATCAAATCACGTCGCTGTGATAAAGGAGCTGCTCGACAATGATCGTTGGATATCAATTCGCGAAATACACGAAAGATCAGATTGTAGCATTGGCACAGTGCATCGCATTATTCACGATGAACTCAATATGAGATGCCTGTGTGCCAGGTGGATTCCTAAAATGTTGATGGACGAACAAAAAGTGGAAAGGGTGCGGTATTGCAATCAATTTCTCAGACGTTTTCATAGGGAAGGTGAACGTTTCTTGCGACGGATAGTGACTGTTGATGAGACATGGATCAGCCTATACAAACCTGAAACGAAATCACAGTCTTCTATGTCTTCTGTTCATCGTCTTCTTTGACGTCGACGGTGTGATACTGAGCCACGCGGTACCCCTGGGTCAGACTGTGACGGCGAAGTATTATTCTAAGGTATTAAATTTATTTAATCTATAATAAAATATTCATTATTATGTCAATACATTACCTAATAATTATTTATATTTGTGTAAAAAATTATGAAAATAAATTATAACGACCATTTACTTATGTATTTCTTTATGCTTTCAGATTCTGAAACGCGATTTTATGAGGTCGATGAGAAAGAAGCGGGCCACGAAAATCGCCGACACGATATTTCATCACGACAACGCATCGTCTCATCGTGCGGCCGAAACACAGTGCACAATCAGGAAACTCGGCTTCGAAGTCCTCGAGCACCCGGCCTACAGCCCTGACCTCGCACCATTCGATTTCTTTCTGTTCCCGACACTGAAGAACGTCCTGCGGGGAAAACTCTTTGATGATGTGGACGAGTTGTCCTACGCGGTACAAGGTGCAATTTCAGAGATAAATAATGGCTCCTACTTTCATAGTTTCATGCCATGGATCAACCGTTTTCAAAAGTGTGTTTCCTTTCACGGAGAGAATTTCGAGAAGGACTAGGTGCGTGTTTTGGGTGACTCTCATACATGCGTTTAGCGTGACGTCGTTACGACGTTGGGCCGGTTTCACTGCGATTACCTTAGAAATACTTGAAATTGTACTATTAATTTTTATCTGATTTTATTGGAATTTTGTGTACATTATAATTATATGTATATTTACAAAATGTAAAGAGAACGTCAATTTCCCATGAATATTAAAAATATGGCAGCATTTTTCCGCGTATTTATTGAATAGCACTCGTATATAGCGCAAATGACGTCACATCAAAGTGTTATTACACTAGTGTAATATCGTTTTTATAAATTGACTTTATAACACTCCTGCCCCGCGGTTTATGTGATAAGTAATTTTATTTCATCTTGTGAACTTTATAAACAGTTTTTCACTCGTGGCTACACCACTCGTGCTAATACTGTTTTTAAAGCTCACTCGATGAAATGAAATTTCATCCTACACAACAAACAAACAACTTTATAATATAAACAGTATTCACACTCTTGGCTGCGACACTCTTTCAGAGAATACTGTTTTTAAAACTCGTTCGATGGAATAGAATTTCATCTTACACACTAACAAACAAATATCCTCTTTATCACATAAATTGACGTGAGATAATAACCACGATTTCAATCACGTCATAACCTAACATAACATTTTATAATATAGTATAATATCATTATTATAATGAACGCACATCCTAAGCTTCAAAATAAAAGAAAATGCTAAAATTAATTCACACGGCACTCAATAATTATACGAAATCGTGTTTACATGTCTTACATTAGCTTTACTGGTGATGAAAAAAGATACACATCGTGAGGTTAGCCACACAGTCGGTGCTATCTAGTCCGGCTGTCCCGGCTGCTCCTGTTAGCCAAAGTAAAACTAAGCAAATAATCATCGGTTTATTTCATAATGTAATTTCATCTCCGGCTACGCCGAAACTATGGCTAACAAGTACAAATGTTGCTGCAATGCAGCAATTGAGAAGCTCCGCGCAAAAAATGCGCTCATTACAGATACCTTACCAAGTTATTCCTACGCACAGGTCATGTTATATTCAGAGTAAGTACTATTGTAGATTTTTTCAGAATGTTTTTAAACCATTTTTTGCATAATTATACTTATCTTATGCACTGTCCATAATTAATTAATTAAAAAGAGGGGAAAATTTTTTAATATAAAAATGCTTTCACTGATACCTACCTGGTAAGGAAAGTAATTCCATTGAATACAAACAAGACTTGTAAATGTTATGTGACATGACTGTACTGTGTTCTGTTCGTGTCACTACTGTAGTCAGTAACAGAAGATGATAGAAATACCAAAGTCTGGTATAATTGTAACAAATATACAAATAGTAACAAAAGGGACTAATATTATAATATAGTAATATTACATGCATATTTTTCATGTCAAATTAAAAAAAATGGTTTCTTTCAATACTGAAAGTAGAACACACTCTGGAATGAAAAAATGGGATGAATTTCAAAAAGATCAAATTCAGGATTTTTTTAGTTTGTTATACACGCGTTACATGGTGATACAGTATTTATCATTATAATAGAGTCTGTTACCTGAAGTTTAGGTAGGTATGAGGAAATTCACTAATATCATATTCGTACGAGACAAAGATATGAAAGCTATTTGACATTGGTAATATATAAAAAAAACTATTGTTAATTAATTTTTAGGGAGATCAATATATATATTTTGTTGAATTGCTTTAAAACTATTCATAAAAACATTACACTTCATGTTCAAACTGCATGCAGATCAAAGTTTCTGTTGTTGTCATGATATCTATCTATAGCCTATGCTTAAGGCAGCCATGTTTGTTTTCACTAAAGTCTGTCCAAAGTGAAAGTAGTCCAAAATTCATATAACAACAAAGCTCTTATTGTAAAATGATGAACCATTTGAAAGTACACTTCCAGGTTTATATTTTAAGGACAATTATAAACAAAAATAAAAATGATAACAATTAGAATATTTACCTTGAATGTGCTACACTTCTGAAGACCAAAAACATTCTGTTGCAAAGTTTTATGCACATTTCATGAATGGCAAAATCCTTTTTAAAGTCTGTTTTAGTGCCAACAAAAGCTATTTTTTGCAGCAAAACTCCATCCGCTTTCGCTGAACATATCACCAGTCATACCACTAACTTTTTTTCTTTTTCAAAAAGTGGTATGCTGTTCCAATGACGCGAATGAAATGTAACGTTATATACTAAAGTTTAATTATTTCAAAACAACCAATATATCAACATGTTATTATTAAACATTTAATTTCATAAATATAAATTAAAAATAATTATCAAAAGCAAAATTGTTAAAATCTCATGCCTATAATCTTCTTTATATTGACAAATTCAATCACTAATAGTATACTTGATATGCTGTGTGTAAATGTATTTCAAAATGTAACAAATTATAATTTCATGTTCTACTAAAAAAGGGAAATAACAAATTTATAACCGAAGTAACATTTATAGCAATTTATAGCTTTCGAATTTACGTAACAGCAGAACTGCTTTCCGGTTCTCATTCATTAATATGACATGCTGCGAATCACCGACGGGGAAACCAATATAGAAATCGAAAGAAGTTCTTGAATGCGGATTTACTTTTAGCTGTTAATCGAAAGGATTTTTTGCTCAAATCCGGGCCCATGGACAAAAAAAAAATAGTAAACACAAATAGCTCCGCGGCATAAATACGGCATAAATATATCGCTCATATCTTAAGCCGCTCTTAGGGGACAGTGGACATAATCGTACAAAGGCCCGGGTCAAATTTCAAAATAACACAAACATGGTGTTTTGAAGGTACTGAAAACTTTGATATTTTCTGTCATTGTAATTCTCTCCTGTGTGTGTATAGGAAATGAGCAGCATTTTTGAGTGTTTACCCGAAACTAAACATTTTGATAGCTTTGCATTTTTTTGTGACTTTCCGAATGGAGATGAAAAAGTTAAAAATCAAGTATTGACAGTTGCCGCCAAACAAGTAAGAAACTTTGGATAAATGCTGTGAAAAATCTAAACGTATGACAGACACTTTATTGGTCAGTTTTGAAAATGCCATTGATTGCACTGTGTGTTAGTGATAATCTTAAAGGAATCGGGCGATTTCTAGAGTATGCTGCATCTTCATGAATACTGCCAATATATGTATATTTAAGGTGTGATTTTGCTGGTTGGGGGCAAATATAAATTGCTATCAGTCATTATTTTTAGGACCAATGCATGCAAACTATTATTTTCTTCAATGTATGTCATATGTCCTTGAATAATGCTGCACAACCGGTTTTCTGCCTGTGAAATATTTTGAATTTTGTTCTGGCCACACTGAACTACAAAACTGCTATTTTTTTAGGTCCTCTGTTCCCTTAAACAACTACATCATAGTGTAGACCATGATACTACTATGTACGCCTTTGTTTGGTAATTTGTAGTTTTTTAATTCCTATGTTCGTATATTGATTGCAGAAACGGTAGTTCTTTATAGAAATGAAACTGTGGATGCGCAAATGGTTGATTTATCTTTTTAGGGCAACATATTGTGGATTCTGCCGCGTATTCGAGTAGTGACAACTATACACGCCTTGATATCATATTTTTATCACAAAACTTGATATCACAAAATGGCAGTTGCATTGATTATTTCTGCTTAGAGTTTTACTTCTTAAACAATATAATTTGAAAATGAAAGGAAGTTGTCTTTCTTCTCATACTTTCACTATTCCGGATTATTCTTAATACCATTTAAATTGAATAGCTAATTTCAAAAATCAAGCTCGCTCCATCAATTATGCATCCGATATAACAGGTTTTCTCTCAAAAACATTAACGAATGTTCTAATTTTAATGTTTGTATCTCCTAAACTCTCCTGAATTTGGCACAAATTCAAAAGAATCTTCAAGTTTGAGGCCAAATGCAACCAAGCCAGAAAATTCAATGTTCTCTTTAGGTGAACCCGGTCAAAGAAAAAACAAAACATGTTTGATAAACGATTTTACAACATTTTATTCAAGATAACTTGTTCTGCAACTTAAACATTTTGAGTTATGCCGAACGTCACCGGAAGGCATGAACGCCATTAAAGAAATGTGTGAATGATTACGTACACATAACTATAAGACTTATTGTCTTATTTTGATCAGTTCCATCGCCAGGCAAGTGTCTGGGATACTTTTTTCCCAAAATTTCATTATCTTTATATAGGGAGTATGTGATTATTTCTTTGCTTTTAATATCTCAAAAAAATCAAATGCTATCATTTAAAAAACATTTCCATATAACGTAAACGCAAAGTATTTGCTGTTTCAGTTTCATACCTTTTTCAAAAATTGTGCGCCATGTTAAAAACTTTATCATTTGTAAATAAATGATCTATCTCAAATTAAAGTTTTATTTTTTTTTCGATATTTCTAATTCAGATATTTATACCACGACATCTACAATAACTGAGACAGCTTCGGTGTCAATCACAGCCCCTGAAACGACATCTTTGGCAACAACTAAGCCCACAACTGTGGTGACCTCTACTGAAAATAAGGTTTCTTCAGAGACATCTATGAGACAGACGACATTCTCTGAAACGAATTCTTATATTAAAGGTAATATTTATTTTGCTATCGTTCTACTCTTTCTAAATACATTTTTAGGGTAGACCAGAAAAGTTATGCACAAATCGTCAGTGCAAAAAGGGTGCAGAGTCGGAAATATGCGCCGCAATCTGCGGTCACATCGTCAAACTCTTATAGTATATAAGTGACCCTATTTACTGAAAGCAAATCCATTGAAACTTGAAATATAACGTCTATAAATATATAGAAACTCAAATACTAGTATGCAATTTAATTTCAGATCTTTTTCATATTTGTAAGTTTCGCCCTGGTCAGTTCGAAACCAATAAAAACTGTGTTTAAATCTAGTACAAATGGTCATCTTTGCGAAAGGATTTGCTGAATTTTCTTATACTCAGATATAGTTCGAGATCTTCAAAAAATCTATCCTAACAAGTAACAAGAGCCAAATATTGAACAACACGCCGGAGTATAATGATTGCATACATTCACCATGTCCTTATCAATATACATTAAATGACTTCCTAAAAATAGATTTTTAAAACTTCTGTCGATTTTCTTGAGAATTTTCATAACATTAAAGTCTTCTTAATAAAAAATCGAGCTATTTAAAGTCCATTATCAGAATCAATCTGAATAGCTTTTTTTCCGACAATAGCTTTTCTTCTATATGTTGTTTTTTAAAACTTCTGTCGATTTTCTTGAGAATTTTTCAGTGCTCCTTTTTTTTGTTAGTAAGCTTTGCAGTAAGTCTCCCGTATTCAAATGTGGACATACTTGGAGAAGATCTATTGACAGGCACAATACGAACTGTGATGCCAAACATATTTCCAGGGCTTCAACCTGAAGATATCAATGATGTGTATGTTTTTTCGGCAAATGGTAATGCTTCAAATCATTGTTCTTATTTTCTAAAAAAACAAGATTACATTTTATTCAATTTCATCGGGCGCTTAATGTTTTGATTTAACATCCATTCTCAGAAAAATAACAAATATAATTATTGATTTGACTACCAGCAACTCATATCACATTCTTGAACATATTAAATTGCAGTACATGTATATCAAAACGCATTCCCAATCATGTAGGATAAAATATGTAGGGGAGGGTAGAATTTGGCCTATATAGATTTAAAGCATGCTACGACCCTGACTTTGCAGTAAAAACGATAAGAAATATGTTCAGAATATGATATTCTAATTATTTAAAGAAAAGAATCAACAGAAAAAAAGGCGACATTTCTACCAACTGAAATATTTTAACAGCACGTCCATTTGTAAGCTTTGAAATATTTGGGGTTTACAGTATATCGGTATGTTCAATATAATTCTAGACAGATTATTTTGATTTAGTAAAATGTGTGATGCTTAGAAAAATGATTTCTATTCCATCAACACAGGAGACTTAGGGATAACTATTGAAATAGCCCCTGCTACCGAAAATACCGATGCATTGATAAGTGCAATGGAAAATATTGTGGAATCTGGTCAGTCGTTTGACATTCCTGTTGGCTTCTTCCCAATAACTGTAACAACCATTCCAGGGTCTTTCGAAGTAATATATCCAGACAGTAAGTGGTTTTGATTATGTGGAACTTATTTAACATTATGTGTGCGATGATTGCTTAAAAGTTTAATTTCTTCTTATTATTTTTAAAAGACATTTATCATATCAACAATGAGGTATCAATAAAGCGGTTTGATTTTTTGCAGCATAATCCAGTGTTCAATTTCTTTCTATACATTTATACGAGTTTTTTTTGCAAATGCACCTTTTTTAAAATAGAAAATATTGGAATCGTTCTTGAATAGACATGAAGACTTTAGATATTTAGGGTATAAATACGCAGGTAATACAAGCTCCTTTGTTGCATCACTACCTAGAGCTTTCATCAACACAAAGAAAGACAGTTATAGAACATTCCCATTTAAAGTAATCATGAAGCTCGTCAAAAATGATTTTTGTTTAAGTTTCTTACCTGATTTGAATGTTGTGCGCTTCGGAAAAGGTTCTATCCTTGGTAAATATATAATCTGTGTCCATAATGATATTTTAAATATTTAGCTATTGCTTATTCAGATATTGATACCACGACATCTACAATAACTGAGGCAGTTTCGATAACAATCACAGCCCCTGAAGCGACATCTTTGCCAACAACCAAGCCCACAACTATGGTGACCTCTACCGAAAATAGGGTTTCTTCAGAGGCATCTTCGAGACAGACGACATTCTCTGAAACGAATTCTAATATTAAAGGTAATATTATTCTGCTGTCGTTATACTCTTTCTATGTACATTTTTTGAGGTTAGAACAGAAAAGTTATGTCAAGTACACAAGTCGTCAGTGCAAAGTAGGTGCAGAGTCGGAAATATGCGCCGCAATCTGCGGTCCCATCCCCGAACTCTTATGGTAATTAAGTGACCACCTTATTTATACCTATTAATTGAAAGCCAATACTAGCCACTGAAACTTGAAATATAACATCTATAAATATATAGAAACTCAAATATGCAGTTTAATTGCAGATCTTTTTCATATTCGTAAGTTTCACCCTGGCCAGTTCGAAACCAATAAAAACTGTGTTTAACTCTGGTACAAATGCTTATCTTCGTGAAAGGATTTACTGAATTGTCTCATACTCATATATGGTTGGAGATCTTCAAACAATCTATCCTAACAAATAACAAGAGCCCAAAACTGAACAACACGTCGGTGTATTATGGTTGCATACATTCACCGTGCCCTTATTAATATACATTAGATGTCTACCTAAAATAGAGATCGTTTAAAAATTCTGTCGATTTTCTTGAGAATTTTCATATTCATTTAAATCTTCTTAATAAAACTGTTGAGCTATCCAAAGTCATTATTCAGAATCAATCTGAATAGCTTTTTTCCGACAATAGTTTTTCTTTCTATATGTTGTTTAATTAATTGCCAGGAATTATCTAGTATGGAGGTTTGATTGCATATATGAAATTTTGCGTCATGCATTATTCAGAATCAACCTGAATAGCTCTTTTCCTACAATAGTTTTACTTTCTATATGTTGTTCAATTAATTGCCAGGTATTATCTGGTATGGAGATTTGATTGCATATATGAATTTTAGCTTCATGCAGTGAATATAAGAAGAACAATTAGTTTCAAGTTACGAATATTAGAGGCAAATACATATACCAAATAGATTGCGCCAAAAGATTTACTTTTGTATCGAGATAGAATAATCTAAGCTCATAAATAGAAAATCCTAATTTTGCAAATATCTTGTTGACCAAATACAGATATTTTGAGTAAACCTTAATGTTGTTATATTCACATAGAAGGTTTAACCTTTATTTAGATAAAGGTCAAGCATATGATGCTTTTGCATTATTTGCTGTCAAATTCATCATTGCTCAATGCAGTATCAAGACAGATCATCGACAAAGCATGCAATAATCTCGAGCCGGCTTCATTTAACTAAATTTGTTCTTTTATCGCTGAAGTCTGTGCATCAAACAACAAATACATTAGAACTGTTCTCTTTTTTTTTGTTTGTTAGTAAGCTTTGCAGTAAGTCTCCCGTATTCAAATGTGGACATACTTGGAGAAGATCTGTTGACAGGCACAATACGAACTGTGATGCCAAACATATTTCCAGGGCTTCAACCTGAAGATATCAATGATGTGTATGTTTTTTCGGCAAATGGTAATGCTTCAAATCATTGTTCTTATTTTCTAAAAAAACAAGATTACATTTTATTCAATTTCATCGGGCGCTTAATGTTTTGATTTAACATCCATTCTCAGAAAAATAACAAATATAATTATTGATTTGACTACCAGCAACTCATATCACATTCTTGAACATATTAAATTGCAGTACATGTATATCAAAACGCATTCCCAATCATGTAGGATAAAATATGTAGGGGAGGGTAGAATTTGGCCTATATAGATTTAAAGCATGCTACGACCCTGACTTTGCAGTAAAAACGATAAGAAATATGTTCAGAATATGATATTCTAATTATTTAAAGAAAAGAATCAACAGAAAAAAAGGCGACATTTCTACCAACTGAAATATTTTAACAGCACGTCCATTTGTAAGCTTTGAAATATTTGGGGTTTACAGTATATCGGTATGTTCAATATAATTCTAGACAGATTATTTTGATTTAGTAAAATGTGTGATGCTTAGAAAAATGATTTCTATTCCATCAACACAGGAGACTTAGGGATAACTATTGAAATAGCCCCTGCTACCGAAAATACCGATGCATTGATAAGTGCAATGGAAAATATTGTGGAATCTGGTCAGTCGTTTGACATTCCTGTTGGCTTCTTCCCAATAACTGTAACAACCATTCCAGGGTCTTTCGAAGTAATATATCCAGACAGTAAGTGGTTTTGATTATGTGGAACTTATTTAACATTATGTGTGCGATGATTGCTTAAAAGTTTAATTTCTTCTTATTATTTTTAAAAGACATTTATCATATCAACAATGAGGTATCAATAAAGCGGTTTGATTTTTTGCAGCATAATCCAGTGTTCAATTTCTTTCTATACATTTATACGAGTTTTTTTTGCAAATGCACCTTTTTTAAAATAGAAAATATTGGAATCGTTCTTGAATAGACATGAAGACTTTAGATATTTAGGGTATAAATACGCAGGTAATACAAGCTCCTTTGTTGCATCACTACCTAGAGCTTTCATCAACACAAAGAAAGACAGTTATAGAACATTCCCATTTAAAGTAATCATGAAGCTCGTCAAAAATGATTTTTGTTTAAGTTTCTTACCTGATTTGAATGTTGTGCGCTTCGGAAAAGGTTCTATCCTTGGTAAATATATAATCTGTGTCCATAATGATATTTTAAATATATAGCTATTGCTTATTCAGATATTGATACCACGACATCTACAATAACTGAGACAGCTTCGATATCAATCACAGCCCCTGAAACGACATCTTTGGCAACAACTAAGCCCACAACTATAGTGACCTCTATCGAAAATAAGGTTTATTCAGAGGCATCTACGAGACAGACGACATTCTCTGAAACGAATTCTAATATCAAAGGTAATATTATTCTGCTGTCGTTATACTCTTTCTATGTATATTTTTGAGGGTAGAACAGAAAAGTTTCATGTATCCCAAGTGCACAACTCTTCCAGTACAATATATGATATTCTCAAGTGTATTTAATATGCATTAAGGTTGGTGATACGAAATCTTTTAAACAAGCAGCATATAAAGCGTCAAAGCCTCACCAACAACGACAGCTTTTATTGATGATTTTGTTTATAGACTATTTCAATTTAAAATAAATATGCAAATCTTAACTGATTTAAAGTAATAATATTTTGCATGTTCAAAAGTTTTTTGCTTCGGAAGAGACTTTCCCCTATTTAATTTGCATCTAATTAAATCTAGAAGCACTGAAGCTATTTTAACTAAGCTGTTGATACCATATCATTTGTCACAGCCGAGGCATTTTCACTTCCAACAACACTCACCGGAACGACATCTATGGCAACAACTATTACCATAGCTTTTTACATTTAAGTACTCCGATGTTGAATATGTGTATCTCCTGAATAAAACTAGAAATTGCTAAGTATTGTATTGCGGTTTTTAAGACGTGCAATACACATTTTTTACAGAATAAAGGTCTCGACTCAATAAAAATGCCGTTACAGGATTTAGAACATTATTCAAGATAGCATGTTCTGAAACTGAAACTTATTTAGTCATCCCAGAGGTCACTGAATGCCAGGGACGGCTAGTTGATGATGAATGTAAATGTTGACGTACGCTTGTACATGTTTCTTTTTGACACATGAACTTATTTTTCATATTGGTTAGCTCTATTGCCGGACATGATTCCGGGCTGCCAATTGCAACACCTGATTTTTTCAGTTTTCCGGATCTTAATAAAAGAGCGCAATTCTTCGTAAGATAGTAGCTTAATTAAAATACATATTGTTACTAGTATACTATCATGTAACAAAATTTATACAAAATGAGCTGGTTCTCAGATAAATGATTATATCCAAGCAGCTAATCGTGAATATTTTTGCTTTTTGTAAATTTTATTCGTCAACCTTTCTTCGAAATATGTCATGATTTCTTTGAATAAAGTGCATATTGTCATGTAGATTTGATGACACAAACATGACATGATTATGTTATTATCGTAACAATTACAGGTCAACAATCCATTTTTTTTGAAGAAAAAAAAAATCATATTACTTTGCACTAGATGTGTTTATCGTAAATAAGTGATCTTAATTTTTATGTTAACTGAAAGACAATACAAGCCACTGAAAATGAAATGAAAATTTTTCCAGAAGTTCAAATATCCACTTTAATTTCATATATTTCTCTTATAACTACGATTGAATTTAGCCGGTTTGAACCTAGTACATTAAAACTGTGTTTTGCTGTAATACAAAGTTGTTGTGATCTTATTGAAATGGGGACAGCTTCTTTGTGACCGTGTTTACTCAAATATGGTTCTAGTTCCACAAATTGTCTACCTAATATAGTAACAAAAGGCTTTTACGAAGCCTTGAAGGACACGCCGATAGATTATGAGTGTATACATTAAATGATCAAAACTTTAACAATTAATCTAACACGATCCGCATTTTCCCTATTAAACATAGAAGAACAGAAAGTGTGTGTGTTATTATGCAACATATGCACAGTTTGACGTTCTATATTTAGACATGTGACGTAATCATTATACACGTGGCGTAACCACTAAAAATCCGACGCGCTGAAAATAAGTACGGAAACAAACCAGGCGCAATTTTGCTTAACTATCAAGCACGGCAACATTTATTTGTTGATGTCGTGTTAGAATCGAAATAATATATCCAAAATTAGTGATTTTTTCGCTTGATAACATCACTGTTTGTCGTTCGGATGCGCATCATTATATCACGCGGGCTACGCCCTCGTGATATAATTCCGCGCAACAGTAATGTTATTGAGCGATAAAATCACTGTTTGGGATATATTATTTCTTAATTCAAATAAGAGGTTTGATGAAATCCGGTTATCCTCAAGATATTTTCAAGATTTTCATATTGATTCTATTCTTCTTATTCAAACCGTCAAGCTATACGAAGTCGTTTCTCGGTATTAATTCAAATAATTCATTCCTACAATATTTACCTTTCTGTACTTTTATCAATGCACTGTTAGGTTTACGAAGACACAGCTTTAAAATGAAACAAGTAGGCAGAAAGTCAAATTGAATTATATTATTGTTGTTTAAGAGAAATGGTACTTAATGTTCATATTTTGTTTTACGCGGCTGTTATGCTTCTTCGACGTGGCTTATGCTTTCGATGAAAAAGGAGCACTTTATATATGTAAAAGGCTCAAAGTCTTTAGTGAGTCTCTTTCTTCATTGGTATTTCTTAATAGAAAATATCGTTATATATGAATGATATAACTACTCCTTGACGGTTACGTACAAAAAGATAGGATTAAATTACTGCTTATACCATAGCATTGACTGTAGTATGTACATCAACTTCTGAGGTATTTGACAAAAATGTTGATATAAAGTTTACTTCCTCAATCTCCCTGTAACTATAGTGATGTGGTAGCTCTAATAGAATAGTCACTGAGGGTGATTCGGCATCTGGACAGTATAGTACGGTTAGTACCACTAATAGTAGTAGAGTATAGACTCTTTTCACAGGAAAAATGGTATTCTGCAACTGGACGGCGATATCAATGATGAATAGAATTGCACACATTTATTCATAAATGTGACGGGATCGTAGATTAAGTAACACAAATACAGGATGACACGGAAGAAATACTACTGTTTTAATCTATTGCACGATATGATATAGTAAAGACGGTATTTCCTTAGAGAGGCGATTCTTTAGCACCTTTTTCTTTATTATGGTTGAAAACAGACTCCTTACTTAATCATCTATGTGCCTGACGGTTCTCACCTATTGATGACACTGTAGCACTGAAGATATTTTTATCTTTAAATGACACTTTACGTCACTTGAGTATAACACAAACTTGTAGAAATTCTATTATTTTAATACGGTACTATAGTATTTGAGACACTTGTACTGCAGATAATTTACCATAAATGCGATAATTTAGCACATAATTTAACACTGCTGATCACTTAATAACTCCATGGAATATCACTTAGATAACAGAAGCCAACATTTATCTCTGATGACATTGTTTAAGTAGTAGTAACACTTCACACAGATTATATTAATGAAGCACTGATATTAATTAGATATAAGATTCTGTAACACTTATGAAAATGATTGCTATAACTGACGGTAATTCACTAACATAGTATACAACATAAACATACTTATATTACGGTGTAAAAGCACTGACTTCCTATTCATTCTCATAACGGTACTATAACCGTATTCTATAATTGATTGTATTTTATCACTACAGGACTGACGGTTCTTTTCATTATTGACGGTACTTTATATCACTAAGAAACTAGATAACGGTAATTACGGACCTTACTTTATATCGTTATTAACGTTACGGAAAACTGACTCCCTCTATTTATAAGACTTAAATCATGACATCATAATAAGTACTCGCTTCAATTAAAACAGAAATTTATTTCTTTTATTAACATATAAACTAGTTTGTTTATATGTAACTTCGGTGGATCGGGTAACTTTCTCGAACTTTTTGCTCAGCTATTCTTTTACCGATTGAGACGAATAAAATGTCATTGGAATCGTTGTAAGACAGGCTTTATCTCAGAGTATTGATCTGATAAACTTTTAAGTTCTAAGTTGCTTGAAAGAGCTAAAAGGTTCATAAAACATGCAATACATATAATTCAGGCTTATAACAACCATTTCTTTCATTCATTAAATATGGCCTTGATTAATTATGTAATATTATATATACATGTATTAACATAAATCTCTGGAGGTTCTAAACAGTATCAAGAAAAATCATAGACATCGCAAGCATCCTATAATTTCCAGATTCAATCAACTAAATGTATTCTTTTATTGCTATACTCCCTAGAGTTTCTCATTTTTGTTATTTAGCAAGCTTTGCAGTAAACCAACCGTATTCATATGTGGACATAATTGGGGAAGGTGTGTTGATAAGCACAATACGGACGGTGATGCCGAGCTTAATAACTGGACTTCAAATTGAGGATATCAAAGATGTGTCAGTTCATTCAACAAACGGTAATTATTGAAAACCTTTTTTTTTTCATTTCGATTTTTTTTTCTTAATTTTATCTTTGTAAGAAAGTACGGATTTCACAAAAGTATTTAATTGTGCGTTTTCAGTCCTTACAATGATTTAAAACACATACTTATTATTATTATTTTTTTTTTAATGCGTTTATTTAAGGTCGCCGCCGGAAACCCATATGGGCGACCGTACACTCAAGTCGGGCCATCCTAGGGCGTCCCGCCGAGATTTTTTCGTTGATTTTTTTTCCAGCTTTATTGGTGGAGGAAGACACCAGGTGCCCCTCCGGTCATTATTTCAGGCACGAGCGGACACCTGGGTAGAACCACCGACCTTCCGTAAGCCAGCTGGATGGCTTCCTCACATGAAAGATTTCCACCCGAGTGAGGATCGAACCTACAGCGGTGAGGGACCTGTGATCTCAAGTCAGCGACCTTAACCACTCGGCCACGGAGGCCCCACAACACATACTTACGTGTGTCATTTGATATTTATGTAGGCAAAAAAGGAATTTTCTTTCTTGAAACATACTTTACTTTGCAGGGAAAAAATAGCTTCAAAGTTTATAAAGCAGCATGCCTCCAGATTCATGCTAATTTTCCTGAATATTAAGAAAGTTTGAGCTATTTATGCAATATTTTAATAATTCATACAGCATTTACAATCAACGAAAATGATCAAAATATGTCAACATATGCAAACATATTCAAAACAAACCTTAGTCACGTAGTAGAAACATTGCGATAAATATACCTTCTGTTAGAAAAGATATTTAGAACATCGAATAGGCAATATAAATACATACATACCAAACAGTTATCAGTAAAATGGCATCATAGAAATTAATTTTGTTTTAGAAATTATTAAAAGGCGGATTTGTTTCATATTTAATGTCATATTATATGAAATCAAACTGAATATGCTCTTTCGTCTTTCATCTTTCTATACTGACAAGTACGATATTAATTTCAGCACAAAAACAGTGAACCGATCATAATGTTTAGGTTTTTTATTATTTCATTCAATTAAAATCACACAGTACTTTCAACTTGGGTAGACTTTATTTTAGTCGTTGTTGCATATGTACAAATATTGATGTACCTCATTTTTGTTTAATTTTTCATTTAGTTGTTAAAATATTTTTTGGAATCGTCAAATCACAATATTGTGTGGTATGGGTTATTGAAACACATAAGGCCAATGTCGTGGCAAATCGTTGTTGTAGCGGAAGTTTTCCTCCAGATCTTGTATGCCTCGAAATTTTGATTTGCCATCTCCTTTCATTCTTGCAGATCTACCATACAATCCAAAATTAAGTAATTGATTTCTTTCTCAAATGAATATACATATTTTTTCTTTCCTAAATTACAACTACTATTTAATCTTTGCTCTTAAACCTGTGTGTCAATGTAATAAAAAAATTGCGCAAAGTTTTTATTTTGATTAATTTATTTAACAATAAACATATGTAAATATTTTCTTCTTATGATTATATTGTTACATGTATAAACATTATGATAATTAAATTTCTTATTATCATCATCAGCAGCAGCAGCATCATCTTCATCATCTTCATCATTATCATTACCAAAATCATCATCATTATTATTTTTGTTATCATTACCCTTATCATTATTGTTGTTGTTTTTATGCAATACAGTTAGTAATTAATTTCAATTAACCTTAACTCGTTTATCTTTTTACATTAATACCTACAGTAAATTGTCCTAGTTCTGAAGCTTATGTAAGCTCGTAATTTTGCTAAAGCTGATACTGGTATAACAGAGTTGTGACAAATGCTAATTTAAAAAAAGACGATCTCAATCTGTAAACAGTGGATATTTAACGTTTGTGTAATATCTTGAAATTGCAGTGTCCACTTTGATTGTGTTCAATTTATTATGAACTCGGCTTTTATACATTAAATCTTAAATATATGTGATGTTTGTTGTCCGGTTAAAATGATTATTGATCTAAATTGACAAAAACTAGGTAAAAATGTTATAACACTGTATAAATAGTTATTTGATTAATATGTATGTGTTTACAGCTGACAGATATACGTTACATAATTATTTAATCTTATTCATTTTATTTTTTCTACATACTATACAAACAACAAAGTGCTGTCTGGTGGAAAAAGTTAAATAACGTTTCACCAAACAAATAAATGAAAATAAATCGGATGCATGCGTTATTTTATCATCCTCTTTTGTTTCAAATATCAAACTATCCCTTTTAACAGAGAATCATTAATATATCATTTAAACCTTTTTTAATCTTCTTTAATAACAATTATAAACAATGTCCCTTCTTATGCATTAAAAGGTAAGAGGAATATTCCTCAATGTATTTTCATTTAAATTACACCATACGAGACTAAATATTGATTTTGGTCGGAGAATGAGCCCATGAAAAAGGAAAAGAACAGTATCATTTGTAAACATACAGTAAGTTTCCTTAACGTCTGGGAACTTGCACCAGACAGAATAAATACCGTAACTGATTCTTATACATAGAGTAATATTCCCCTAACTTTTCAATTTTAAGCAATACAACAGAAGCAATATATTGAGTATTCCAAAATAGATGAATATTCATCTATGTCAGCTGATAGTATCTCTACACGGAAGATTCATTCTATAAATTTGTTGTTTAAATTGTTCCTTTATGTCAGCCCAGGAAAAAGCCATCTGGAAGTTCCTTTCTTATTCTGAAACACATTTACTGCAACGTCACTCATTAATCGCGCATAACATGTAGATCATTACTCGGGTCTTAATTTTTTTTATCCTTTTTTTAAAGCTTTAGTACAATCTCCTTCAGTGTGATTTTCTTGAAATACTCTGGCTCATATGGAGGCATGCGTTTTTAATGTAATATTGTGATTACATTATATTCGACTGGAAAGAAAGCGGCATATTTTACGGAATTAAAAGATTATAATTGCAAAAGCAATATCAGTTTGGTAAAAAAAAAAAAAACATAAAAAATATGTGGTACACAATATATTTACATATTTATTATGGTTAAAATATTGAATTTTATTCAATAAACACAGGAAACATTGGGACAACTATAGAAATAGATCCTGCAACAGATAACATTGACGAAGTGCTTCAATCAATAGAAACGTTTGTGGATACTTCTCAATCTTTTGACATTCCTCTAGGCTTCTTTACAATAACTGTAGAAGCCATTCCGGGATCTTTTAAAGTAGTATACCCGGACAGTAAGTTGTCTTCCATATTTGACACCAATGCATTGGCATTTACTCAATTATAACATAAAATGTCTCTTCTTTATTTCGTAATAATTATTTTTCATTTATTTACAGTATTATGATTTTGAATTTCAGCGTCTGATTTAAAAAACTACATTGAACAATATGTTTCCTTTGAATCGGCGTGTTTCTTGAAATTTTGATATGTTCTGTCAGTTATAAGCATGGGGTAAAAAAAATGAACACTTCCTAGCAAAAAAAGCGTTTAGACGTTTTGTTATATTAACAATGAATATAACTATAATGCTAATATTTAGAATTTTTTTATTTGAAGCAAATATATGAATGTCTGTGTTTTTCTATAAACGTTTGTAAACATCTTTTCGCATGCTAAGTGTCTCGGGAGATGTTTAACATTTTGTAAAGTTATTCTTTCAATCAATGAAGCTGTTTCTATTTTAGCTTATGGTATTACCCCTTCCATGATAACTTCAAAGTCATCAGCCTATCAAACCTTTCGAAAATCCGAACCAACATCGTCGTCCTTTGCCGCAACTTCTACGACCCCAACTGTGACAAGTCCTACTGAGGCAGCATCCGTTCAAACTTCACTTCCTGAAACAACATCCATGGCAACAGGTAGTGCAACAGGTGCTGTGATATCTACTGAAACTATTTCTACAGAATCATTTGTACTTCAAACGACGTGGGCTGAAACAAGTCCTATTATTAAAGGTAATGTTTTATTTTATTATCATTACATTATATAACTGCGTGATACATTTGATATTTTACAGTTTAAATTTAAGGATGTTAAGGGCAAATATATTGCATAATAACTGTAAAAAAAAGCTTTGCTATAAAAGTTTCGCTTTTAAATAATCAAAATGAAATCTTATTGAAAGTTTATCAACTAAGAACAATATCTTGATAACAAAATTTTTTCAAATAATCATCAATAGTTTCAATGTTACAATTTTATTCATCTTGGTTATTTTGCAAGGATTTTTTCCTAGGAAAGGACAAATTGATGGCCCTTTCATAGAATTCACATTGGAACAAAGCGGTTTCTTCGAAATTGCAAGTTTTTTCCAAATTCTTTTTAATTGTCATATTGTAATTAAAGAGGTGTGCAATGATTAACATAACCAAATTTGTGTTTTTCTAGAGTTGCATTGCCTTAGCTTAACAACTTTTTATCTTCCTTTAATTGAAGCTTTAACCACTAAAGTTGCTTCCACTTTTGATATTGATACAACATCTTCTTTAATTACGTCTCCGTCAACCGATGAAACGAGTAAGTCGAAATTTAATGAAACCACTGACAAGAAACCGACTTTTTTCACACCAATTATGACTCAAATTGTGACAAGTGCTACTGAGCCAAGTTCCATTCCAACCACCACACTCTCTGAAATGACATCCGAGGGAACAGTTAGAACCACAACTTCTGTTACTTTCACTGACAATACTCCCACACAGTCAGCTTCATCACTAAAGATGTACAGTGAAACGAGTTCTATTACTGAAACAAGTCCTATTATTAAAGGTAATGTTTTCATTTATTATCATTACATTATATAACTGCGTGGTACATTTGATACTCCTATTAGCATTTCCGAGCATAATTGTTTGCACTTTTAAATAAATGCGGTAAATATTTTACAGTTTAAATTTAAAGATGTTAAGGGCAAATATATTGCAAAATAATTGTAAAAAAAACTTTGCTATAAAAGTTTCGCTTTTAAATAATCAAAATGAAATCTTATTGAAAGTTTATCAACTAAGAACAATATCTTGATAACAAAATGTTTTCAAATAATCGTCAATAGTTTCAATGTTACAATTTTATTCATCTTGATCATTTTGCAAGGAAAGGACAAATTGATGGCCCTTTCATAGAATTCACATTGGAACAAAGCGGTTTCTTCGAAATTGCAAGTTTTTTTTCCAGATTCTTTTTAATTGTCATATTGTAATTAAAGAGGTGTGCAATGATTAACATATTAACCAAATTTGTGTTTTTCTAGAGTTGCATTGCCTTAGCTTAACAACTTTTTTTCTTCCTTTAATTAAAACTTTAACCACTAGAGTTGCTTCCACTTTAGATATTGATACAACATCTTCTTTAATTACGTCTCCGCCAACCGATGAAACGAGTAAGTCGAAATTTACTGAAACCACTGTCAAGAAACCGACTTTTTTCACATCAATTATGACTCAAATTGTGACAAGTGCTACTGAGCGAAGTTCCATTCCAACCACCACACTCTCTGAAATGACATCCGAGGGAACAGTTAGAACCACAACTTCTGTTACTTTCACTGACAATACTCCCACACAGTCAGCTTCATCACAAAAGATGTACAGTGAAACGAGTTCTATTACTGAAACAAGTCCTATTATTAAAGGTAATGTTTTCATTCTTTTGAATAATCACATTACCTTATTGTGTGTAATAGTGTGAACTGGTATTGCCTATCGAACACTTCTTGAACTGTTGTATTCAGTTAGATAAAGAAACTGTAAATAACTTAAAAATATATCATTATCATAAATTAAAACAAACGGATCATTCGAAATTGCATTTTCATAAATCTTTAATAAATTTTTAAATAGTTATTTAAAGGTATAACAAGATAAGCATAACCGAAACGGGACATAAGCCGCTTACTTAAGTTTCAAAGTTTTATTATTTTCGGCAGCTTGGATTTTTATAAAGAATCTGACGCTAATGTTAAACGAATCTTCCAATTTTAAGTGAACTTTTTAAATCTTGTGTTCTCTAAATTTTATGTTTCCTATTGTAGCCTTAACCACTAAAGTCGCGTCGACTTTGGAAATTGATACTACCTCTTCGTTGATAACTTCGAAGACTTCTACGTCTACCGACGGACGTTTCAGTGGGTCCGCATTAACTGAAACGACTTTCAATGAGCTGTCTATTGCAACATCTATGTCACCAACTGTGGCAAGTCCTGAGACAAGTGTCATTCCGACCTCAATTCTTGAAACGACTTCCATGGCAAAAGCTAATTCCACAACTACTGTGACCTCTAAAAGAAATACTCCTACAGAATCAGTGTCATTTCAAACAACGTACACCGAAACGAATTCTAATGGTAATTCTAAACTTTTCATTCTTATTTAATGCAGAATATATGTTTGTGTAGCTTTTCATAATTTCGTTTACCGGTTTTGGAATATGCATGTGTACAGTTAGATTTATAGACGTTAAATTACTAAATCCTGATCAACGTTATCAGACATGTCTTTAATAGTAAATTCTGGCTCAAACTAATTTGAAATGAATTATGCAATTTCTTATTTTTTAATTTCAGGCTGTGCACAAGTAGTCAACCTTCCGGATATATATCACGGAGTGACAGTTGGCCTTTCAATTTTGCTTTACATTTTCTTTTAAAATTGAAACTTTCATGGTAAAAAAAACACACACCAACATTTACCTTTTCATTTATATTTAAGTAAAATTAAGTTTTTATAACCGCTACTGTACATATTACTTACGTACACTTTTAATAAGAAGTGTATTGATATTGACTTGCTCTTGAAATTTTGATATTTGTCCCTTTTTAACTGTTTTCATGTGTTAAACCCTGTAAATATTATTTGTATTTTTTCAATTGATTGGGGGTATAATTGGTGTGATTAGAGTTAAAGCCACTTCAAAGAATCTAGTACTTTACTAACTGATGAAGAAGAGAATATGTAGATATTTTATACAACAAGAATTACGAAGAAATTTGCCTAAAGGACTTCATTCTTTGAATTTTAAGTGACTTTAGATATTGTATTATTCAACAATTGTTATGAAAGTCACACCAAAACATTTTTGTTTAAAGCAAGGAATCGCATCTTAAGTGACATATGATCAAATATATTTAGAAATATTCTTGGAACCATCATAACACATTGGAATATATTGAATTTTAAACACAGGTGAAACGAGCTTACTTAAGAAATAAGAAAGGCTTTGGCTTGAAAAATTTAGACTTGTGATCAAACAGAATTTAACGTATTTTTAATTCTGCGTTGCCTGGATACTAAATGTAACTCTAGATATTATTGAACAAATCATATATTTGTGAGTCACACTTTGTTTACTTTTAAGTATGTCTTTTCTTCTGCTTTATTGTCTTTTTAGCCGTTTACAGTGACATACAGAAATAAATTCGTTTCTGTTTAATGTTTTATGCTTTTATTTATGAAAACCATGTGTAGTTTGCTGGTTATAAAGCAGCCCGTGTTCGCTACTCCTTTTTCATTGTGGGTTTACATATATTATAACATATAAGGGTGTCGTTTATTCTCATATAAAACATGCAATTTTTCGTACATCCTTAAGTTTTACTCATATACTACCTGTTAGAATGGTCGCTTCGTAAATGTAGAGACCCTGGTTCGAATGTATTTTCTGATTATCTGCTTGTTATCAAATCTGGAATATGTTAAAAATGCGCGATAAATTCAACGCTCCATCCGACAATTTTCCGAGAGTAAAGTACAATACTTCCTTCAAACCTTGATATTATGGTCTTTGTGAAGCAGGAATTATCGTCGTTCGCTTAGTTTGCCCAACACCAAAAGAAAGAAATATCATAATGTAAATTCTTTTTGTGAGTCGTAGAATGTTGTAGAAAAGCAAAGCAAACACATTTATGCAAGGATGAATGTTTTATTCTAAAATTAATATGTTACTACTAAAATTAGAATTTTAAGAAAGGCTCAGGCTCACTTTCAGCTCAGATCAGTCTAAGAATGGAACAGAAATACAACTTTTATTTTATTCAGAGTGTAATTTTTATTGTCTTTCTGAAACCTTTCCGTTTCATGTTACCAAGGAAATCTTTATAAGAGATTCGAATTTTAAGTTTTTAGGTTTTTGGACCTAAGTGAAGTATCTTTTATATAAGCTGAAGAAAAGCATTATAACGAAGTCAAGTACTACAGATAGGTGCATGTTGTTCTCAAATGTTAAAGCTTAAAATGTGCTTTAATAAGGAAAAAAGAAAACTCTTTGATGTTGAGCGAAATAGATATAACTACACTAACTAAAACACAAATTTATTCCATTTTCGTCATCCAGGTCCAATTCATAAGGGTCTTTATTCTTTAAATACCATAACCTGAAAATAAATGAGAAGAAGAAATGCTCGAAAAAAAGTTCGAAAAGCGGTTGAAAAATATGTGAGATATACGATTCACTTGCCAATAAACAAATTGATGACTTTAAGTTTTATACTTGGGAGAACTGACAATCGCGCTCGAACTAGCGTCGGTTTCAATATTTCAATTTTGCTTAGTTTTGTTTTCGTTAATTCTCCTGTTCATTTCATTCCTCCAACTGTGACATATATTTTAGAAAACAAATCACCCTTAAAGTTTGTTTTAGATTGAGAATGTTGGTTAAGTTGTACCACCAAAATGTCAATGACCATCACCTTCATTTCAATTGTTGACCGAACGCGGCCATCTAAATCAGTCTGACTTCTTGTAAAACTTTCAGGAAAAAAATGAATGTAAGAAGACATTTTATTGATCTTTATATCTTTTATTGATTATAAATTGTAATTGAAATCTGGATAATATGTCATTGTTATGCAAGCATCGTTAACATTTTTATATGTTTTGATAACATAGAGAAATAACATATGCAAGTTACTTTGGCTGAATATCATTTTTAAAGACATTTCTTGTCTATCGTGAGATTTTTACAATTTTATTGTCCTTTATTTTTGTAAAGCCTTTACCCATTTTACCCTTTGAATTATAGACTTTTTAAGAATCAAATAATGCTTTTCTGACTAATATTTATAGCCTATTGTTAAAATTCGATCACTTTAATAGACACAACTTATAATAAATGTCTACATCCATCAAGAGGGTGGACTGAGCGTTTGGTGTGATTGTTGTGGTTAGTTCTTTTGTCCTCCACCTTTAATAATTTTTCATAGACATGTTAACATTCAATTTACAGTCCGTCGGTTTTGAGACAAATAGAACTTAAATTTCTTTTTTATTTCAGTGGTGTGCCTCCTTGTTAAATCAACTGTCATACTTTAAAAAATAATATGCAACACAAAAATTTAAGTATCAAACAGAATACAGTTACATCAATTAATTTTATTATTCAAAGGTAAGAAATGTATCTCTTAATGTTTGGGTGTCTGTTTTACATGTTTGAATTTAAATTTAACAAATATTTGGCCTTTAATATTTCTTAGAAACCTAAACGTCCCAGCATTTTTGCCTTACATATTCTTTTTGCCAACATTTATTGTCCTAGATATGAATTGCAAGCAAATTGTAAGTAAACACTGAAGGTTGAAAGTTCAGTTCTATTTCAGCTTAATGTGGGACTATTCATTTGATATCCAAGCAGGATGTAACGAATAAACTATGTACGATTCGAAATGGAAAGTCTTAAATTAATATTGAAAAACTTGAAAAGGTTGACGGCTCGAAAATTTGTCGTTATACTGAGACCGAGTCATGAGTCAAAGTCACGATGTGTCGAAGTTTATATTCAAGTCTAACCAAATTCTTTTGTATTTTTGTATTGCTATTTTCATTAGCTGTCTTACAAAAAGCTCATACCAGAACAAAATAAACAGCAATTGTAATTCCATGTCGGGTCCATGCACCATTGCGAAGGCTCTGCTCCATACGCGTCTAGAAAGTAGTCGGATACTTTCTGACAACTCCATCCCTCCCAGCCATGATCTAAACAACCCGAATTTGACTCTCCTCCTGTATTTCCCGCTGTGTTGCCGTCATTACTACCATCACTAGCTTGGTTTGTATTTTCTGTTTCGGTGTCGACTTGTGTCCCACCAGTATTACTTGAACCATTCTCTTTAAGGTCATGAACATGTGTTTATATCATAAATATTGCTAATTGTTTACTGTTGAACTACTGTTACAATAAATGAAGTACCAAATTTTTGTTACACCTTGCTAACGATATATATTGTTAATTAAGATGATTATCATATAAATAAAAATGAAGAGTGTTAGGAAACCATCTATCACCTTCTGGATGATTTTACTAAGTACATGAAACAATGTTCCTCAGGTCGTCATCAGGCAGTAAAACTGGGAGGTCGCCAAATGACCCTATACAGTGTTTATTCGACGTTAAACCCGACCAAAAAGGAGTTCATAACTATTTGTACCATTACTATTTAAACTTTGAAACTATAAAAATGCATTTTCGTTAAGACGTACTAAACAATTAACGAACTTATGTTTGAAATGTGTTTAACTTATTCTGAATTAATATCTAAGCATTAAATATTTGTATGTAAATCAAAATAAGGTAATATGAATATGAGGAAAATATGTGTATAGTTTACCATAGTTTCCCCCGTCTAAGTGGGTATCAGACCTAGTCACACACTGTCCTTCAATACACCACTGTATTAATAGAAGAAATTAAACATTATAAAGAACATGTTAACCTAGAACGAACAAATATGGCGGTCAAAAAGATTCTATTTGTATAATCAAAATGTCTTGTATCCGTCCAAAGCATCTTACAAATACATCTACACATATTATTATTATGACTTCCTTATTATAACAGTACCAAAATATATAATGTAGTTGCAATGAAACGTAAAATTTTGTGAAAATTATCAAGACTTATTAAAATATATTGCAAAAAATATATTATTTTGCTAACAAACAACCTTATTCTCATAGGAAGGTCCGCAAGAGGTACCACGTGCTGCGGCGTAATACCAACAGTTTCCATTGTCTCCCGTGCATAACATCATTGTACAGATGTCCTCCGACTCGGCGTTCTATCAGATATAGATAAATAGTTTATAGCAAGATTTTGTCATGATTTAAGTGACAAGGCTTTAAACGAAGTGAGATGATTTATTTATTGTTGGATAAGAGGGGATCGAATAGAACGAACAATAAAATATAAGGTCTTTTTGAAGTGTCTTGTTTAAGAGTCTATAGGGACTAATACATATATAGGTAACATCATATTGGGATTCTAGCCAGTAACAAAATACAATGTTCCGTTTTTCAAGAAATTCTGCTCTACCTTTAAAAGTCAAGGGAAATTACAGAACAAAAATTGTACCGAGCATAGACTTGAAGACTCTCCCCTCACTAGTTTGCATTGTTCATCCGGCGTATGTAATTGTCCAGGCATCAATGACACGTGACTACTGTACTCGTTTGAATCGTAATAATCACCATGGTCCAACAGACAGTTTCCACTTGTAAATAACATAAAAACATAATTTGTTTACAGGGCAACTACTCAATGTGGAAGGTGAAAGGTCAGGATTTCTGTGATTAAAGTGTTATAGTTTGATGGTTTCATTATTTTCATTTCATAATATCAATCTTCAGACACAGACGTTTCGCCTATAGTCTCAGAAAAACTTGACAAAATAGCTACATCAATTTTATTAGATATATTTGCCTCACATTATTATTTCAAAAAAAAAATATAATGAACTTCAATACTGTTTGGTGCAGCATTTGTGCTCAAAACTTAAAATGACTTGCATATATGTAAATAAGTTGAACATATAATAAAGAAAACAATATTGTTGCAGGTGTTCAATTCAAATTGATTGAAATAAAAATTTATAATAGTAATTATTTTTGCTAAAAGGGGGCGTACCTAGGGTTTAGGTGTCTGCCTTCAAAAGAAAGGGTTCGACCCCACCATTTCACGACAGTTTCTTCATTGACCCATCGGGGTTAGTTCCAGGAAGCGGACTAAAAAGTGATTAATATAAGTTGCAAGATCTTGTTTCGCAATCGAGCTTAAATAAATATGTTTTAACCAAACTAATGAAAGCTTACGAGCCCATGTTTTCGACATAAGATTTAAAAGCGGCGACAGAACATGTGGAAAACCGCCAAGGGTTTAACGTATACGGTTGACTTGGGTAGAAACTCGTCACACTTGGAGCCATAATGTATTTATCTGAGCTTTCACAACCTGACGAAGTTCCACTTCCATCATGATTAGATCCAAGACTACAAAATTAAGTTGTCAGTAAATTGCTAATGACCTCTTGCAAATGAATATATTGTTTTCAAACAAGAGGTTGCATAACCTTAAACCGGGTAATATCATATATTTGTATTATAATACTTATTCATGATATAAAATATGAGTTGAAAAATAAAAGTGAAATTAACCCATTACTTCATATACACGCCTTTTTCACCCCCCCCCTTTCTGTTGTCTTAAATGATGAAAAAATGCCTTATTTAGGCCGCAAACACTTGTTTTTGTTTGAGAAATGTTGTTAAAAAACGTGACCTCTTTTTCGGCGCGGCCCCCCAACCAAAAGATACACCAGGGGGTTGCCAGAAGGGGGATGTGCCCCCTTCTGTTTGGGGAGTTTGAAGGCGGGCGGAGTCCCCCTCATCGCCAAGAAAATTTTGGACTTGTGAGAGGCTGTAAATGACCCCAGATTGATCATAAGGTAACATGTAACCAACGCTGAAAAGCATTTGACTCTATCTCAATCCATTGAGAAGTTGCAGCACTTTGAAATCAATTTTGATGGAAAAAATCAACGCAAAATAGTGATTTTTGGCAATTTTGAGATGTCCCCTCGTTGCCATGGTAACATAAAATTTAAGCCTGAACATGTTGTTGCAAGGGCAATGGTCCAGTCAACATTTGTGCCAAGTTTGATTAGTGTTGAAGCAGTTTTTATAGTATTATAGCAATTTGAACTTGTAACGGGAGACTTTTCAATGAAAACAGCCATTTTTCACAAAATGCTCATGAAGTAATGGGTTAATGTACTTTTCCAAATCATTATCGAATCGAAATTGAATTTATGCATGGATTAACAGCAGATTGCCTACCCAGTTGTCACATAATAATGTGAGCGTTATTAGATTTGTTCTTATTGATATCGCATGTATATCTCAAAATAAAATACGATTTGTGACAATTTGATATAGACTTTTACATCTGAATTATAATGATTTATAGATAATTTCCCTACATTTCCCTGTTATTGTTTATCAAATTTCAATATTTATGTATTATATAAATGGTATGTTATTACATACTTGTGTCCGAGTTCATGAGCTGCCACAGATACTGTGACAAAATACGAACCATCTTCATTTATGGAGGTTCTGTATGAATTACATACTCCACCGACCCATGCCTTTCCTGCAACACCGGTATTCGATGTACTGCCTGAATACAGTTCATATCTGAAAGAAATATTCCGCAACAGATGTGTTCTGTAATCACTTTGCATACCAAGCACTTGTAAATACCGCAATATAAACACTGTACACAGGAAAACCAGCATGTGACTATTCTTCACTAGACATTCGCAGTAAATACAGTATGTAATCATGGTTCACTAGACATATCCAGTAAATATAGTATGTAATCATGGTTCACTAGACATACCCAGTAAATATAGTATGTAATCATGGTTCACTAGACATACGCAGTAAATATAGTATGTAATCATGGTTCACTAGACATAAGCAGTAAGTACAGTATATAATCATGGTTCACTAGACATACGCAGTAAATATAGTATGTAATCATGGTTCACTAGACATACCCAGTAAATATAGTATGTAATCATGATTCACTAGACATACCCAGTAAATATAGTATGTAATCATGGTTCACTAGACATACGCAGTAAATATAGTATGTAATCATGGTTCACTAGACATACGCAGTAAATATAGTATGTAATCATGGTTCACTAGACATACGCAGTAAATATAGTATGTAATCATGGTTCACTAGACATACGCAGTAAATATAGTATGTAATCATGGTTCACTAGACATACGCAGTAAATATAGTATGTAATCATGGTTCACTAGACATACGCAGTAAATATAGTATGTAATCATGGTTCACTAGACATACGCAGTAAATATAGTATGTAATCATGGTTCACTAGACATACCCAGTAAATATAGTATGTAATCAATGTTCACTAGATTTATCAAGTAAATATATTATGTAATCATGGTCTACTAGATTTATCCTGTAAATACTGCAATGTGAGCATCGTTCACTAGATTTCCGCAGAAAAAACTGTAATGTGATTATTGTTCACAACAATTAGCCAATTTATAATATCATTCTTGAATACACTTAAGCAGTAAATACAGCAATGTGTAAATACAGCAATTGTTCACTAGGTTTAACCAGTAAATACAGCAATGTGTAAATATAGCAATTGTTCACTATGCTTACCTAGTAAATACAGCAATGTGTAAATACAGCAATTGTTCACTATGCTTACCCAGTAAATACAGCAATGTGATCATTATGAGGTAGGTCCTGAAGATTTGCTGACCATGATGTTAAACTGTTAATATAAACATCCGCATCGGCATGTTTAACACCGGCTAAAGTTTGAATATCGGTGGAGGGCGGTAAGGGATTTGTGCTATCTATGTTCTGAAAAATAACGTTGAATTACATGTCAGCAACTGTGAAGCACTGGATCATTTTGAACATTTTTTTTGCAAATAGCTAGGTCGAATATTTGTAAATAGACTGTATCATAAATAATTTGCATTTTGACGTTCGTCTTTAAGTTTTTGACCTAAGTCTTTAAATTAGACTTCATAAAATGAATAATTCTTCTTCACATCTTTTCATGTTGTCAAACATTTTCTTTCGTCTTGCTCTTAACTTACCATGCCTCCCAAATCATTCTTATTGTCATGAAAATGTTGAAAATGCATATTTCTGAAGTTTGATTTTTAGAAATATTTTGGGTCATCAAAAGGCATGCAAGTTTAAAAAATCATTACTTATTCCTTCTCTTTTATAATTATTAGCTTGACGCCAAAGTTCAAAGCAACTTAAATTCTAAGATGTTATTTGTTCGTATGGCTAAATGAGGTTAATATTAGCTTTGTAGGAGAAAACTGTCCCGGAGCACATTTGTCTTACGCAAGACCGGTACGTTCGCATTTGTACCACATGAGACAAATGGGACCTCAAATGTCTACCCCAAAACACTCATTTGTGTGACAAATGTGCTCCGATCAAGTTTTTTAAGGGACAAGACAGCACATTTGCCTATGTATTTACAAGGGATAAGAAAGCATATTCTCTCATGCCATTTTTTGTGCCCCCCCCCCCCCCCGGAAGTGACCTGAAAACGTTATTATAAATACAGAAAACACAGAACATTGGATAGGAGCCGGTGTACAGATGGGCATAATTATTACCATTTAAAAATGTTATGGAAAATTTGAGACAAGTGTACTTCGAGTGTCCTTTCTATCATGTGTCGAACACATCTGTCTCATTATCTATTTATCTAAAATATGAATGTTTATGAACACATCTGTCACACCTTGTGAGACAAATGTGTTCTGAGACAAATGTGCTTCTACGTAGCTGCATTTAACTGAGGAATTGTGTAAACTGTTGGAATTCTTTAACAAATATGTAAAGATTTTCTGTATAATTGTCCTAAATATCATTAAACTAACCTTGTAGAAAATGAATCCTGACAAAGTAACGTAAATGTTCATAGCTGGATCATCTATAGATTCATAACGTAGACTGATCTACAACAAATATTAAATGATATTTATATATATTCGTTTTATAATAGGATAAAAATGGGATAGAAATTAGTTTGAACTATTAAGTTTATTCCATTGTGTAAAAGTACATTTATAATACTAAACAGTACATTATTTATATACAGTAAAATCCCTACTTAAAAACCACCACGGAATTAAGACCACCCCGCTATTGAGACCATTTTTAAAAGTACGGAATTTTCTGTTCTTTATGTCAATGGTTACTTGATCCAAAATTAAGACCACCTCGCTTATCCACTTTTTAGACCATCAGATTCAGTCCTAATTCTTTGTTTTGTTCTTTATTTGAGCACACTATTGATACCACTGATTTAACGTCAACACCTACCTAGATCTTAAATTTGCTGTTGCTATCAGCTTGAATACTCCAAATTTCACAAGTTGTCAAATTTTTAGTGTCAAAAACACCGTTAATCATTGGGATATTATATGAAATAAGGTAAGGCAGTAAATTTTAGAGTGGTTAAATCTTGCTTAAAGCACATTGATTATGCAAGAACGAAGTTATTATTTGATGGGTGAATTATGTACTTCATATAATAATTAATATTGAAATTGATATTGAAATCAGAAAAAATAGAATTTGATATTATATTTCTTCCCATCAGATGTTAATTTATAACATAGTTTTATGTTGTATTTGCAGGTATATATATTGTTTGTTCATATAAGTGACTTAAATAGACCATGGTAAAAAAGTGTGTAAGCATTGATAAGAATTATCACAATTCACAATTAAGACCAGTCCGCAATTAAGACAATTTGGTCCAGTCCCGATGGTGGTCTTAATTGAGGGTTTTTACTGTATATGATTTATGATTTTAAGTAAAAAATGTTTACCTTTCTCCTGTATGTTTACCTCTTGACAATATTTTGGATTTGGTTATAGTTTTACGTCAATTGGCATTTAAATACAGCCGAGGTGATCAGAATGAACAAAAATGCTATTAGTAAAGCAAATTGAGTATGTTTTGTTTAAAGACGTTTTCGGTAGTTTTCTGTGCGCATCGTTATGCGCATCCAAGAAAGATAATCACGGATATAATTACTCTTCAAATGAAGGTAAAGTTGAATAGTATTCGGATAAGTGTTTAAATTTCGGCCATAAGCAAATAATGAGTAAATAATACAGAATAGATATTTCTAAATGTTCAAAAGGAAATTGGTTCAAAAGAATAAGAATGTCGTTTAGAAAACATCACATAAAGTATTTCTCCAAGCATTAGTACGACAGCATTGATGATAATTCTGCGCGCGTTACCCCACCCACTTGTGGTATAGTGACAAAAGTGCGTCGCGACTTGATTACTGGCAGACAACTGGGCAAAGTTTAAAATGATATATTTTAAAAGTGTTGAATAAAAAAATCAAAATTAATATCCCAGAAATGTTCAGAATTTCATTATTTTCTTTGTAAATTTCTGAATACTTGCTTACTGTTCGGGTATGTTAGTCGAGTGAAAAAAATAATATATGGCCCTAGATATGTTTTAAAAAAAATATTCAGTATCATTTACTTAATATAACATCAAAAGAAAAAGAAATTCTTATTACAACATGTTTTATAATTGACAATACATTTAGTAGAACACTGATATTTCTTAAGAAAGCGTGGTAATTTTGACAGTTGGCATATGCGGTAACCATGGAAACTGCCCGTTTACAAAAACCTAACACTTCAACATATATATTTTATTTCCATTTTTGAATCCACAATCAAATGTTACTTGATATATCAATAATGTAGAAAATTCTATAAAAGAAATTTCTTGATAGCTTTAATTTTTTACAGAAAATTTTCATGTTTATTTTTCTCATTTTTTGTTTAGTTAAAAAGCATGAAAACTCATTTTTTAGAGAAATATGTCCAAATTATCGTTTTTTTTTATACAGAACCCTAAGATAAAGCAAGCTTTGTATAAAATTATGTTTATTAAGAGTGTAATAAGCTATTTTATACATTATTATAATACAGTTTGGATATTTTGAAAATTTTGAGATATACGGTTACCATGGAAACTGCCATTTTTCAAAAAATCCAACACGCCAACATATATTTTTCTTTTTCTTTTTGAATTTGTCATTAAATTTTACACAATATAGAAAAAAAGAAAGAAAATTCTATGACACTTTTTTCAATATCTCTAATTATTCTGAGAATTCATGTATATTTTTCTCATTTTTTGTTCGGTAGAGGAACATGGAAAACTCATTTTTTAAAGAAATATGTTCAGATTATCATTTGTTTCATACAGAATCATTAGATAAGGTTATCTTTGCATAAAACAATGCTCGTTGTGTGTTTTAAGCTATCTTATACATTTTCTATTCGTTATAACACAGTTAGGCTATTTTGACAGTTTTTTCGATATACGGTTACCATGGAAACTGCCATTTTACAAGAAATCCAACACGTCAACATATATTTTTCTTTTTATTTCTTAATTCGTCATTAAATTTTACTCATCATACAAAAAATCTAGAAAATTCTATGAAAGGATTATTTTTTCATAAAACTGTAGAAAATGTCTTTAAAGACATAATATCTTTTCAGTTTAATGTGCAGTACATGATAATTGTTTTCTAGTTAGCTATGTAGAAGTTACTTACTCCATTTATAATATGAGCAAGATGCTGTCGTAGTCTTAACTCTGTGGCGTCATTTTGGTCAAGTCCATTACCACCTTGCGTCGTGTCAAAATACCTGAAACATGTTTAAGCGGTAATACATAATATTTTTACAATAAGAAAATAAACGCAGGAAGAGTAGGTAAAAGTTTTTAGCAGCTTAAAAACAGGTAAAATAAAAAAAGTAATAAAATGTTCATGTAGTTCAATGGAAAAATAAAACAACCTTACGGACAGTGACATTGCCACAACATATTATTAGAGTTGTTAACCCTTATTCTACCATATTAATTTGAGACAAGGGAATGTTCGTATCAAAAATAAAATTGAGCTGCTAATAGTATAAAGTATGGTGGCTGATTTGTGCCATTCGTGTTTTGCTCCGCGACCCCGCCAAGCAGAAAGTCGAAAATTAACAACTTAAAATGGCGAGGGCGCGCAGCGAAAACACGCTTATTTGCGATTGCATTGGGACAAAAATTTAAGAAATAAAACGGCGGGGTCGCGATACGAAAACACGCTAATTAGAGGGGTCGCGGAGCGAAGTTCAATAAATAAAACATCGCCACGCGCCCCCGTTAATTAGCGTGTTTTCGTCTTGCGACCCTGCCAAGCCAAAAGTCGATAATTAACATGTTAAATGGTGGGGGCACCGAGCGAAAACACGCTAACTCGCGAGGGCGCAGGCGAAGTTAAATAAAGGAAACTTCGCCCCGCGGGAGCGCGGAGCAAGATTTAAGAAACATAACGTTGGGGTCGCGGGACGAAAACAAGATAATTTTAGGGAGGTTTATTTATTAAATGAGCCTCTATAATTAAGCCTGGTCAGACTACATGGTTGAACAGGCTAGTCAGACCCTAACTTGTTGCAAGTGCTCATCAATTTGTGAGGCTTAATTGGGTTATTGCAAATTTCGTTCGTGTAACGTCAACAAGAGTACTAAAAGGAAAACGACAAAGCAAAACAACAACAGCTGTCGGTAGGACAGCAACGCTCGACTATTCTTAGTGCTTGAAAGAAAAAAAAAATGCTTGATACAATTACCTCTTCCTGTTTACAGGTTGGGGTAATGATGGTGAACAAGTGTGCAAAGTTTCAAAGCCATATGTCAATGGACTTTGAAAATATTTGAACTATTACAAAAACTTTAACGTAAATTCTAAGTCGAAAAAGGGGCATAATTCTGTCAAAATGCTTGATACAGTTACCTCCTCCTGTTTACAGGTTGGGGTCATGATGGTGAACAAGTGTGCAAAGTTTCAAAGCCATATGTCAATGGACATTGAAAATATTTGAACTATTACAAAAACATTAACGTAAATTCTAAGTCGAAAAAGGGGCATAATTCATTCAAAATGCTTGATACAGTTACCTCCTCCTGTTTACAGGTTGGGGTCATGATGGTGAACAAGTGTGCAAAGTTTCAAAGCCATATGTCAATGGACTTTGAAAATATTTGAACTATTACAAAAACTTTAACATAAGTGGTTACGCCGACGCGGACACCAACGCCGACGCCGACGCTCGGGTGACTACAATAGCTCTACTTATTCTTATCGAATAGTCAAGCTAAAAAAGATATTCCCTGTGCAATGACAACAATAATAAATCCTACTTATTCCACATTTCAGGGTCAACAGCCACTAAAATCTCGAGGGCATACAAGTTGTTCTGTCTCTTTCTTCTGCTTGCCATTTTCAATTTCTGTGTGCAAGATAAAATTTAACACAACTCAATCTGTATTTGTATTCAATGCATGTAAATAAAACTTGTTAGTGCCCAAGAAAATACTTATCAGCGCATGCGCATGAAATTGAAACTCGTCAAAGCATAATATGGAAACTTATCGCATGAAAATGAAACTTACCAGAAAAAGGCGATAATTTTTTAATTTTTGAATGAATTGAGTCTGAATCTAAACAAAATGCATTATCTGTAAAAACACATTTTGCAGGAATGTTACACAATTTAGTCAATTTTAACTTAATTTGATCGTAATTACTTACCGTCTTATGCATTACATCTTATTCTATTTTTTTCTACAAAAAACTTTAACTTATAGATATTTTATGCTCAAAATTGATATTTGAAAATACTGAAATTTTTTAAGGAAACGCTGTAAGAATACATAGAATCGTTTAATATGATAGTTTTTAAGAAATAACCAAGTAAACTTTGGCCAGTTTTAATGAGTACAGCTTCTAAAACATAGTTTGTGCAGTCTTTTATTCAAATTAGACAAATTCAGTTAGAATTTGCCAAATTTCAATAAATTTCTGCAATAAAAGTATTTTACGGAAAGATGAGCATTGTATATCTTATATCAATTCAAATTATGCAGATTCATTTTCAATAACACTTCGCCTTGACATTGTATCTAAACATTTACCTTTGCGATAACATTTTTCTGTCTTTCTGTAAGAAAAGACTTCAGTTCCTCTAACAACTTCTTCCGTTCTTGTAGATTTCGATCTGTAAGTCAACATTATAATGAATGGGTACTTATTTAAGTGCACATTATACATGTTATACCAACACGGTTTTTATAAACAAAGATTATATACTATATTTAGCCATTATTAACCACATATTAAGTCATCATATATCATGTATGTAGCCATCATATACCATATATTAAGCCATTATATACCATATATTTTCCATCATATACTATTTATTTAGCCATTCTATACCAAATATTTAGTCTTAATATTCCATATATCTAGTCATTATACCATGTATTAAGCCATCTTAAATTACTACTATGACGTCATTCCTTTGTTCTGACCGTACTGTATTTTTGATACAGTACAGGTACGTGTCCAATATTAATGTGTAAGGCCAATATTAATCGTGTAACACATTAATATTAGACAGTGTGCCCCGTGTAGTGAAAGAAGCTCGTATGACCACAGGGTTTTGTGGTATGACCACATTGTTTTGTGGTATGACCATAGGGTTTTGTGGAAAATTGTAAAAAAAAAGAAACCAACAATAAAAAATAAACGATTTAGTAAAATGTAACCTCTTATCACGAAGAATGATGCAACGTCATTTCGGCGCTACGCATTTTACATTATCAGCTGATAATTTTACGAACAAAAATATAATTGTTAAATTGTTATCTTGCTCATTTAACGAATTCTAATTCCAAGCCTACTGATTTTCGATTTCCAAGCTCTTGACGTGTAAGGTAGTGGAGATGATTTTAACGTGATTGTTTAATTTCTTGTCTGTTGTCCGTTTTCTTTTCTTCTTTTGAATACGTTTAGTTGACAATCATACTTGATTTGCTTTATTGTATGTACGTAATGTTTCAGTTAGGTCAACTTTTCAAATAAGTGTAATGGTCAGCCTTTCAGATAAATGCAGTAAAGAAAAATAAATTCATCTATTCAAAACAAAAGCGGGTTATGTTATATATAGAAACGATTCCAGACTCCTGTGGTATGACTCACAAATAAGAAACTATCATTTTGTTGCCCAAATATCCAAAATTCATACTTTTTACACCCCTGATTGTTGTAGTATAGTAAACAAATCATTTTAACATATACACTAAATGGTCAGTATAAATCCTTCTTAAAAGTCAGTCAATAATCCAAAATATCCGAGATGTAAAACAATTTGGAAACTTTTTATTTTCATTATTTCTTGTAAAAATCCCAAATGTAAATTGATGTATTCTGTGTACGTGTACAATGTAAGTCCAACATTTTGTGTAACTGGTATATTTTGTGTATATCATTGTGTTCATGTACATACTTGGTCATATTTCAAAACACGAAAATTTCATGCTACGGACATTCTGTTATTCAAGAGGCTACCTTTGGGGTTTAGCAAGTAAGAAAAAGATAATTGCTAAAACATTAAAATTATACATTTCTAGCACAAAAATAGATTATTTCTTATTTTGTGATAGATAATATGATATGTGATAGTAGAAGTAGTAATTTAAGTAAGATATAAGCCTCAAACTGACCAATACGCGCCTCATGAAATTCAATTTTTTACAAATTGGACGGTTTTCGGCTTATATCTACTACATATATCATATATTTCACCATCAAACCCCATGCATTTAGAAGTCATATAACAATGTATTCACATTTAATCAAATAAAATAAAATCGATAGACATATTCTCAAATACAGTTTCATTTGTCATTGTCTTTATTAAGCTTCAAGTAATGATTCCTTCCTCCGCGCTAAACTACCAAAGCATCTCCCATGGGTTCGATCCCCGGGAGATGCTTTGGTAGTTTAGCGCAGAGGAAGGTAGTCTAGTACTGGTGTAACTCTCCAGGAACGATGTTTAGGAAACTACCCGCCTATATGACTGAAATACTGTTGGGAAAAGGCGTAAAATGAAACAAACAAACAAACAAACTTTGTGAAACGGTGATTTTTTTTGTCAACAAAGATGTTAACGTTTAGAATAAAGAATTAATAAATCTTCACAGGCAGTTTTATCGACTTTAGTTTTTATTTAATGGTATGCATATTAAGTTTAAATATCTTTGTACCTGGGATTTCCAAAAAGTCAGCAGTTACAGAACTAGCAACATTTAGTTTTGGTTTGGTTTCTTCCTCTTCGCTGGGAACCAGTATATGCGGAACATCATCGGACGCTTTTCCTCTTTTCAAATGTAGAGATGGAACGCTGGGTGCATCAGGTACTGGCTTCAAATCGAAACTTCGTCCCGACACATTAAAATTGCCATACTAAAAAAAAAGATCACGTTAAAAAAATAAGAATTCTAGACAGATATTTTTTGTTGGAATTATATGTAATTATATGTTTCAGAATTGTTCTTAATATTTCTAATCATTTTTCTTTTTTATTAAACTCGTTCAATAAATTCAGTATTAAATCTTTATTTATTTATATCCTTTATGTATAAAATGAGTATTGTTTGTTTCAGAAAACATACCAATTTTCGTTGACAAGCTCCGCCTTTTTTATTTTCACATGTGACTTGGAAAACTCCGCCATTTCTCTTATCTTGGTAAAACTTTGTCCTCTGAAATATTTTGTAAAATTTATGTAAATAATATTTTGAATACGCATTTATAATCTTATTTTGATTAAAGGTGAAACAATCAATGCTTTGATAAGATGACTAATAAAAAACGGGTTTGAAATAAAACTGATTTCTTCAAACTTTTAAAAGTAATGATTTCAAAAGTAAGAGAAAACTTTCATATTTATGATGATATTTTGGAATATATAAAAAGACTTTAAAACATATCTACAAGTAATTTTGATAAGTTTTAAACCTTAATAGGTGTAGAGGTTTTCCTCACTAACTTCTGTTTACCATCAGAGGTTGGCTCGACGTCATATACAGGTGCGTTCGCATTCAGACGGAGGTTTTCTTCCAAATTAAGATGAAAGTCTGACTCATTGTTTCCACGGAGAAGTTGAAAGTTTAATTGAGATGGCAGGCCAGCTGATTCGAGGTTGCGTCTATCAATGTCTGCGTTCAAATCACGCACCCATACCTGTTCCTCAAGTGCTATATTGTGAAAGACAAATGCATTACTTCTTCCGATTTCTTGAGAATGATTAACCTAATGCTTTTACATCGTGTGTATATTTGAAAAGAAGTGTTATACATGATACGTTGATTTAAACATAAAATGATGTAAAAGTATGAAATAAAAACAAAGTGATCAGTGACAGTAGTCTTTATCAACCACGGCCTATACATGGGGTGAAATTTGTGTGTTGTGGGTGATTTTTTTATAAACTCACCAAAGTTCACTTTTACCAAATTGTGCTATTTTTTTTTAAATAACTTTTTACCTTCGTAATGTGAAATAGTTAAGAAAGCATGGTTTTAATTGTCGCGATAGGAAGATTGTGTATTTAGTTACAATGAAAAATATTTTCTTTGACATAATTCTGTTAATTTGCAATATCAGTATGCACATTTTTTCAATTGAAACACTTATTCTGTAACGCTATTAATTTTAGCGAATGTTTTATTATGTTTTAAGAAATAGATATCAATTCTGAATACATTGTTGTAGATTAATGCACGGTTCGAGTTCAAATTCATAGGAATAATGATAATCATAAAACATTTAAACAAAAACCGTACACTATTGTACTATATTGCAGGAAAAATTAATACCTATTTCCATTCTAATATGTTAATAATAAACAAAATTTACAAAAAAATTATACATTTAAACTTAAGCAAAGAAGTAAATTTCCTGGCGTCATTTGGTTTATTGACGTTATATGGTATCTGACGTCATTTGACGAGTAAGCATTCTTTATGATGTATCACAAGTCGTCACGTAAAAATCAGTACCGTCGTGCTATACCATTTTAAAGGATCGGGAAAGAGACACGGGTTTTTGAATTATTATAAGATATTTAATTTTCTGACGAAAATCATGAAGTAAATGAAAGTGGTGATCAAATTCGTAATTCAAATTTAGATAGTTATCCAAATATTTACCAGTATTGGTTTGTCAATATGAATGTAGAATAAAAGTCGTTTTGAAGAGGCACATCATTCTTTAAACCTTACTTAATATATCTTTAACATTGCAATTATTATAATTAAAAGAACATCAAACGATAATTATAGATACGTCTGAAGTAGCTCTTCACTCATTTATATTGAAGTATCGTCAAAGAAAATATTTTAAGGGTTTACATTAGACAAAGCTTCAAGTAAGCTAACATGTAAGACAATATTTTTAAACCTCTTATACTCGTTGTAATATTTGACTATTTCACATTGGTAAAAACTTAAAAAGCTCCGCGCTTTGATATGTTTAAAACAATATGCATAAATCTAGATTATTTTCAATTATCAGTCGCACGAACACTGATAATGTCATACGGGAACTTTTTCTGTGGAGGAAGATTTCAGGGTTTTTTTGTTTTGTTTTGGGTTTTACGTCACATCGACACAGTATAGGTCATATCGCGACGTTCCAGCTTTACTGGTGGAGGAAGACCTCAGGTGCCCTTCCGTGCATTATTTCAGGCACGAACGGGCACCTGAGTAGAACCACCGACGTTCCGTAAGCTAGCTGGATAGCTTCCTCACATGAAAAGATCCAAAGTCCCTGTCGGGATTCGAACCCACAGCGGTGAGGGCGAGTGATTAAGATTTCAGGTGTTCAACCGTGCATTATTATTTCAGACATGACCGGACACCTGAGTAGAACCAGCGACCTTCTGTAAGAAAGCTTATTAGCTTCCTCACAATCCTCACACACAAGAATCTCAAACGGTGACGGTCATTTAGTTTCAAGTCATGAACCAAAACCACTTGTGATGCTTTCTGACCATTCAATTATCTGAAATCTAAGACTGAGCTTAAAAATTTCCGATGTTAATTCTCACCCTGGTTATAAAATAACAACAAAGTATATTTGTTTGAAGATTTCGATATATAAATAAGTATTTGAATATTCAACTAATCATATTTTTGTAAAAAAAAAATAGAACCTTATGCATAAATTCACAAAGTAATGCCATGTGTGAAATTCTGAAATGATTGTCTGTTGCGACAAAGATTAAAAGGTCTGGTCGCAGCAAAATAAATTAAATAAAATGAAATGATTGGTAAACTTAAAATGAATTCAAGACAAAGACAGAGGTAAAAAATATATCTGCGTTGCGTCGAGAAGTTTCGAACGATTTTGAGGACGAACTGTTCTGTTATTTTACAAAATATGTCTGAAATATCAATTAATAGTTATGAATAAATTGTTAAAAATAATCAATTCTTAGTTACGTATTGTTAACTTATTTATTAAAGATAAAACTACTTGATTAAACACAAGATTGATATTTGCCTGGAATCTAGATATAGAACCACTTAATGTAATAAAAAATCAAGGCAAAAGAGAACAATCGTCACAGAATCCTTCAAAATAACCTATTGCAAATATTTATAATACGTTTTTAAATCAAACTTACTTTTTCACTCAGTTAATCTGTTTTGTACCTTAATGTTAATTGTTTTCATGAATAAGCATATCTTTTTACTGTTGTGTAAAAAAATATTTCCGTTGCGCCCGTAAGGTCATTTTTAATGCGTTTATTTAAGGTCGCCGCCGGAAAGCCCATATGGGCGACCGTACACTCAAGTCGGGCCATCCTAGAGCGTCCCGCCGAGATTTTTACGTCGATTTTTTTCCAGCCATATATCTACCTCAGTCTGACCAATACGTCCGTAAACTGGCATATTGCCCTCAAGGCCATGTTTATTTGTTGAATGATAAAAAGAATATGGTATTCGAATATGGCAGTATTTAAACGTTTATTTTAAATCCTTAAAGTTTTTTATTAGAAAATTGGAAAATCGTGTTATTTTGTATAAACAAACAAACAAACAAACAAACAAACAAACAAACAAAAATACACTAAGAAAGACTACAATCGTCTTCATTGCTAAGTAGACGAGCCGCGGCGTGCATACGGCGTCTAATAACTGTATATTATTTCCGCTTTGAAAAATAGATATGAAAAATTATGTCAGTTGAGTTCATAATAAAATAAGTCATCGGAGGGTAGAGGAAAATAATTCATGGAAACATTAAGTTGTCGTCATTATTATTATGCTTCTTTTGCACCAAAAACAAGTTTTTTTCATTATGCATATTATTTCTAAAATAAATAGACGATTCCCTTCAATTATGCCTCAGAAATGTTTTCATTTTCATTTCTCAAAAGCGTTTTATTTCCAGTTCATATTCATTACCATGTTTGCAATTTTCACGGAAACAAATATTTTAAAATCATTTTAATTTAAAAAATAAATAAACTACAAAATTTCATTTCTGCTAAATTTGTTCTTTTTTCATAATCATTGGAATTTTTTTTTCAATCAGCGCATTTTTTTAAAATACAAATTGGGAAAATAAGAATTGATAATGTTTTACTTTTAAATCGTCACCAATAAAACCATCTTTATAAAATAACGTAAATTCCAAGGCTGTTTTTTTTTTTCAAGTTGATTCTCCCGAGACATTTGTAATGTTTTACATCAAAAGAAATAGAAATTTGATTAGATATCACAACTTACCAGAAACATTTGATGCGGCAACGATAACCACAGACAATATCAAAATCCCTAACATGATTTCTGGTGACATCTTAGTAAGGTGTTTGGAGTAACTACGGATCTGTCTTCTCATTAAATACCTTTCTTGATGTTTGAAGAGAAAGATTAATTATAAGCCATATTTTAGAACATATTTTTCCTAATTGCAAATGGATCGTGCGTCGGTATTGTTTATTTTAAACCTGTTATCGGATCTAAAATGAAGGTGCTAAAATGATCAGAGTCAAAAATAATTTAATCAAATTATTCATTGCACTTAACAGACAAACGATCGCGACGTAGTTGTTTTACTTTACCCTTAAGATAGACTAAAATTAACACTGTGTTTATATAATAACGAAATTTTATAAAATACCTTATTTAACAAACACAAACTTTATCTTCGAAGTGTGTTTGTCGGGGCGTTCTGACCACTTCCAAATATTTACGCAAAGTTATGCGTTTTTCTAATCTTTCATTTTTTGACGTTTTTAATACTTGTTTAAACACGTACAATTTCATTATTAAGAATAAAATTAAATACGTTCAAGAAAAATTAATAGCACATTTTAAGTGAAGACCTACATGTTCATCGTATTTTAGGGTGTACGCAATGTTCTACATTAGAGCACTAGCCTGATCCATGTTGTGCTATGCTTGCATAAATTATGCATACTTTTTCATGTTATGTGATAAAATACGTATTTATTGTAATTTGAGAGCGGAACCAAATAAAAATAGATTGAGGCCCTAGCTGAAAATAAATAAATAAATAAAATCAAAAAAATGCCCCCGCTCGTATTAACTATTATACTATTATATAGACGTGCTCTTTAGAACAAAACTAGTATCTTTAAAAGGAAAATACACCATAAATACCGAACTGACAATGAAACTGACAATGAAACTGACGATGGGAGAAGAGGAGTGATAAATGCATTCAATTGGCGTAAAAAATGGATAGTTGATTAGAGTAAGCAGTGCTTCTGATAGATTTTAATGTGTTTTAATGATTTAGTGTGCTCCAGGCGTTTTTACGAATATTCCTTGTAAAAATAGCGGTGGGTGGTGAATTTTTTTGTTGCCTTCCTTGTGTTTTTTGATATTTACATTTCAGTCCTGTGATCAGCAGTGTATTTCAGTGAAATTAAGGGCGAGGGGGTAATTCTCTTTGATGTCATTTTGCGAAAAATGTGGTTGAGTAACCCTATATAAGGAGATGAGTTTTATGTGTCAGCCATTTCATTACCCCATTATAATCACATCTCTATGATGAAAACACAATTTTAAGGTACATGTATGTTTTGGGACCATTTCTTATTATGTAAGTCTATGTAAAAGTAATACAATAGCCTGAAAATGGTAGGTTCTATCTCAAGCTAATGATGTAAGTAAATATTTCTTGTTTTAATATTTATTGACTATTGAGTGAATATGTATTTGTTAGATACAAAATGGCTGATTTAAACCAATTTTAGTTAAATTAACAGAAAAAATATAGACAAAAATGCTATTATTAAGAATCCAAAGAGGGAAATGACTTTCAAACATGGACAAGGGAGTAAAGATAAATATGGATATGAGAGAAAGAAATTGAATAGCCAAAGTAATGTGTATAAATATTTAAACACTAACACTTTATTGTTTCTAAAAAAATGAAGTATTTCATAAGTCTGTCGAAGCCCCACTACAGAGATGAAGATGAATCAAAGCAAAGATTTCCTCGACAGTCTGATTTCTTTGATTGATGTAATAGACCATATCCCACCCTTGTTTAAAACAGCTTGTAGCAGTCATTTTGGCTACTAAATTAATATGTTGTTATTACTGTTAAATTTGTTTTAATGTACCCATATTACAATATCAAGGGAACCAGGAAAATACAATTATATATTAATTATGTGATTTTTCTTGAGTTGTCTCCCTTTTATTAAGATATCCATAAATATCAGCTTCTGAACTATGTTAAACATATTTTTATTTATCAATTATTTATTTCAATTTTAATATCATTGATACCTTAATGTAACCAATAAGACATATACATGTATCTTATGTATATTATAGAAATTATTTATGTTTTACAGCTAAAAATGATGAAAAAAGAAATATTTAAACAACTTTGATAATTTTAATATGATTGCGGAATAGACTTCCCGTTGGCTCTGTGCATCGTCTGACAAAAAAGTTTCACATCATTTTTTTTTTTTTGAGGACTTCAAAGAAGTTTGTAATTTATCGGCTCCTGGTCAGAGTTCTGGGCTGATCATGTCACTCTATCTACAATGTCACAGCAGGTCGCTTCTACAAAATCCCTCATTTTCTTTAAATTCTGATCTATTTAATTGTCCTTGTTCATACTAAAATCCATAAGTACGTGGTGAATGGTTATGACGTAATTCTTCCCATTAGACATCTTTTAAGCATTAAATATAAAATGAAGTAATATTACTATACAGATATTTCTTAGATAAGCCAGGTACATGTATATGGGTCTCAGATGGCCATAATGTGAGTCAAACCATCCGGTTAGCTCAATATGTAGAGCGTTCGACTGCAAATCGGGCGACCCAAGTTCGATTCCCGGACGGCGCAGGTCACTTTCTATGTGAACTTGTGATTGATCATGAAATCTTTTCGACAGTCATTCGCACTGTACCTCTGCTCTGCTCTAGTATGTATAGAAGTTTAAGTTCCTTGCGAAGGTGAGGGCAGCTAGTACAGGTAAACTGCTTGAAAGCCTGTCCAGGAGCGATGTAGTGGCTGAACTGTGCTCTTGTGAATTCAGTGTGGCGTATGCTGTGATCCGTGTGAAAACTAATTCACCACCACCCATATGTGAGTCTTGAGTCCTGTATAGTATCTTTCAAATGTACTTGATAGAGATAATATACTCTGCCTTCGTACCAAAGTGAACACACCCACGTTACTTCAGAAAGAATAGATGATGTTGTGTGAGGTATATTGCAGAGGTAAATTGTTAATGTATTTGAGGTATATTGTAGAGGTAAATTGTTAATGTTTTGTGAGGTATAATGTAGAGGTAAATTGTTAATGTATTGTGAGGTATAATGTAGAGGTAAATTGTTAATGTATTGTGAGGTATATTGTAGAGGTAAATTGTTAATGTATTGTAGAGGTATATTGTAGAGGTAAATTGTTAATGTATTGTGAGGTATAATGTAGAGATAAATTGTTAATGTATTGTAGAGGTATATTGTAGAGATAAATTGTTAATGTATTGTGAGGTATAATGTAGAGATAAATTGTTAATGTATTGTGAGGTATATTGTAGAGATAAATTGTTAATGTATTGTAGAGGTATATTGTAGAGATAAATTGTTAATATATTGTAGAGGTATATTGTAGAGGTAAATTGTTAATGTATTGTAGAGGTATATTGTAGAGATAAATTGTTAATGTATTGTAGAGGTATATTGTAGAGATAAATTGTTAATGTATTGTAGAGGTTTATTGTAGAGGTAAATTGTTAATATATTGTAGAGGTATATTGTAAGGGTAAATTGTTAATGTATTGTCAGGTATATTGTAGAGGTAAATTGTTTATGTTGTGTGAGGTATATTGTAGAGGTAACTTGTTTATGTATTGTAGAGGTATATTGTAGAGGTAAATTGTTAATGTATTGTAGAGGTATATTGTAGAGATAAATTGTTAATGTATTGTGAGGTATAATGTAGAGATAAATTGTTAATGTATTGTAGAGGTATATTGTAGAGGTAAATTGTTAATGTATTGTAGAGGTATATTGTAGAGGTAAATTGTTAATGTATTGTAGAGGTATATTGTAGAGATAAATTGTTAATGTATTGTAGAGGTTTATTGTAGAGATAAATTGTTAATGTTGTGTGATGTATATTGTAGAGATTACTTGTATAAACTGGACATATCTCTGTGAAAGGTTTATAAAATTTTGTAGAATTCATTCTTGACTTTATCTGTATATTCAATTTTAAACATTCAATAAATATTTTGAAAAAAAAAACCAAATAATATAGCAAAGAGAAGCATAGTGGTTCGAGACCATTTGACATATTACTTTTATGAAAAGCGGGTGCTAGGGGGCGTGAGGGGTGTTGCATTTTTCATTTTCCCTCATGTACAGACCCAATCAAGCCGATTCTGCAATGTTTGTGGTTTATTTTATTGTGATGTTAAAACGCCCGAGGGATCACACTTGATTTTCATTTTTTATGGCGTTTTATTAAGGTGCCCGCCGGAAAAGCCCATATGGGCGACCGCTTACCTCAATCGGGTCACTTTAGAGGTCCCGCCGATATTTTTCGTCGATTTTTTCCAGCTTTATCTGTAAGGAAGAACCCCAGGTACCCCTCCCGGGCATTTTTTCAGGCACGAGCGGGCACCTGGGGTTAAACCACCGACCTCTGTAAGCCAGCTGCGGTGGCTCCCACATAAAGATTTTCGTACCCAGTGAGATCGAACCCACAGTGGTAGGGACTGTGATCTCAAGTCACGACTTTGAACCACTCGGCATGAAAACCCCAACACTTTATTCAGATTTTTATACTTCACTTTAGATCTTCACAAAACAGAAGGTGTCAAGATTATGTTGGTGATCCACCGAAAACATTGCCCGGGACTTCACTCAGTTTGTTATAATTTTTTCTTGTCCCTCCCCCCCTCGGGATCATTGTTTTTTCACTTTTTAAAAGTTAAAAGAAGTACGGGGGAGGGGGGATATGTATGTTGCACTTTTTCTTACCCTCATGTACGACTTTAATCAAAACGACTTTAAATTCCCTGCAATTTTTTTGTAAAATTTTCAGGGATCGCACTTTATCCCGATTTTTACACAATAATTTTAATTTATCATTTATACAAATCTTTCCTTTTTATTTAAAAGGCTATAACAACATAAAAGTTTGTACTTAAGTTTGTTGTAATTGTACCAATACAGTATGTCCAACTCTTTTGTTATGTGGTGACCACGTTTAAATAGAGACAATTTTTCCAATATTATATAAATTATCTGTAAATAACGTATACAAATTTAGGTGGATTAAAGTAAGATATGTTATTATTTTGATTTAAGAAAGAAAATATGACCCACATTGAAAAAAGT